AACCTATTAGCATGTGTTCAAAAAGAACCTGTAGATAGACGCTCCATTCCTCAACCTATTAGTATTAGCATGTGTTCAAAAAGAACCTGTAGATAGACGCTCCATTCCTCAACCTATTAGCATGTGTTCAAAAAGAACCTGTAGATAGACGCTCCATTCCTCAACCTATTAGCATGTGTTCAAAAAGAACCTGTAGATAGACGCTCCATTCCTCAACCTATTAGCATGTGTTCAAAAAGAACCTGTAGATAGACGCTCCATTCCTCAACCTATTAGTATTAGCATGTGTTCAAAAAGAACCTGTAGATAGACGCTCCATTCCTCAACCTATTAGCATGTGTTCAAAAAGAACCTGTAGATAGACGCTCCATTCCTCAACCTATTAGCATGTGTTCAAAAAGAACCTGTAGATAGACGCTCCATTCCTCGACCTATTAGCATGTGTTCAAAAAGAACCTGTAGATAGACGCTCCATTCCTCGACCTATTAGCATGTGTTCAAAAAGAACCTGTAGATAGACGCTCCATTCCTCGACCATTAGCATGTGTTCAAAAAGAACCTGTAGATAGACGCTCCATTCCTCGACCTATTAGCATGTGTTCAAAAAGAACCTGTAGATAGACGCTCCATTCCTCGACCTATTAGCATGTGTTCAAAAAGAACCTGTAGATAGACGCTCCATTCCTCGACCTATTAGCATGTGTTCAAAAAGAACCTGTAGATAGACGCTCCATTCCTCGACCTATTAGCATGTGTTCAAAAAAGAACCTGTAGATAGACGCTCCATTCCTCGACCATTAGCATGTGTTCAAAAAGAACCTGTAGATAGACGCTCCATTCCTCGACCATTAGCATGTGTTCAAAAAGAACCTGTAGATAGACGCTCCATTCCTCGACCTATTAGCATGTGTTCAAAAAGAACCTGTAGATAGACGCTCCATTCCTCAACCTATTAGCATGTGTTCAAAAAGAACCTGTAGATAGACGCTCCATTCCTCGACCTATTAGCATGTGTTCAAAAAGAACCTGTAGATAGACGCTCCATTCCTCAACCTATTAGCATGTGTTCAATGTATTTGGTCTCGACACATTCTTGAAAGTTGAAAAGCTTTCGACTGCTACAGTCAAGGCACGCCCAAAGCGGTTTGTTTTTAAATAACAGAAATTATAAACCGTGTTTGGTGGAGCTGTCCAAACCTGTTGTCTGCACTTCCTGAGAAATTGTGTATTACGAACACTCTTCTAGACAGGGATAGTTATGTCTGTCTCCAAGCCTTTACTGCTATCGTATTTGTAACCCACGTAGACAGTTTCTTACAGGCATCTCTTCGGGGTGGGGGGGGGGGACGGGACAGACCCCCAGACAACATCTACCGCCACACCCCACCTCCCTTCCCTCCCCCGAACGAAATAATTTACACTTACAATTTATACTTTTACTAGTGTCCGCGCTCCCGATAATTTTAGTATGCCCCCCCTTTCCCCCCCCCCCCCCCCGGAGAAAAAAAGTCAGAAAGAAACACTGCTCGTAGACGTGCGTAAGCTATTCGCAGTATTTTCACATGCAACACTTGGCATACTAGCTGCTATATTTTCTTGTATATTTATTGGCACTGAATGAAAATCATTTATCTGTATCGATTATGACTTGATACAGCGCACATGTCCTCTAGACGACACAGTCCATATGTCCTCTACACACCCCAAATGTCCTCTACACACATGACACAGCCCAAATGTCCTCTACACACATGACACAGCCCACATGTCCTCTACACACATGACACAGCCCACATGTCCTCTACACACATGACACAGCCCACATGTCCTCTACACACGTGACACAGCCCACATGTCCTCTACACACGTGACACAGTCTACATGTCCTCTACACACGTGACACAGTCTACATGTCCTCTAGACGACACAGACCACATGTCCTCTATCTACACACATGACACAGCCCAAATGTCCTCTACACACACGTGACACAGCCCACATGTCGGCGTAACCCTGATTAATCAAGTGTCACAAATCAAAGGATGTAAACAGCTGGTTTCCCTCACTAGTTGGGTATTAAGGTGACATGGACGAATCATAGGGACAAAGCTCTTGGGTGATGGATGGTCTAATGGAGGAAGAACTGGGGGGGGGGGGGGGTAATGAACCTTCTAGAATCGTGACCAAGCTTATTACCAAACATTACAAAACCCATTACAGCATAGACTAGGACAACGTGACCCAATACAAATGTACGACGTCATATCCTAGCCTGTCTTATCCCACTAGAATCTACGCCTAAAGTAAACAATTGGAGTGGTCACGTTCTGGGATAAATTTAACCCGTTTGTCGCGAGTCGTCTAGGATATCCCATATATCCTGAAACACGTCATGTCCCATCCTAGGTGACGTCACTGACCTGTTTTAGTTGTAAGAAAACTTAAAGCTGAATGTCACACAGTACCCATGCTTTAATTATAAACACAGCGTCTCTGTCTCAGGCCCCTTACATCATGTGTAGAACAAGTGATTCATTCAAGCTTACAACACACATTTCACGGTTCGGTGACAGCTTTCGTTAAATGTGTGCACGCCCAAAAAAATTCAGTCAAGTCAAGAGCTAGGAGGGGGGGGGGGGGGGGGGTAAGGAGACTGCAGTGTCAAACCCCACCTACTACAAAAAAAAGTTTGGGTGTCGCCTTCCTCCCCCACCCCCTAGTATTTTACAATGTTGACGGAATAAAACGTTTTTGGCAGTAAATTTTACGGTTTTTCAAGTTGGTGTCACTTCCTAAAATGTGTTACCCGGTGCAGACCGCCCCCCCCCCCCTTCTCCGCATTGTGACTCTGCTTCGAACCTTGGTGATAGACCAAGCAAAATTATGCCCCCCCCCCACCAATGATCTAGTGTACTGTAAACTTTCTACTAGTCCCCATGCCCTGACACGACCAAGAGGAAACAGTCTCGACATGACGAATCCATGCATCAAGGAAGTGTCGGCTCTATCGACAGATAACATTGTATTGGTTGGTAGCTGCTAGACACGGCGACACGCGAACACGGACATGCAACCACAATCACAAAATAGGGTCTAAGTTTGATACAATCACAACCCACAAACTAGGATTTAATGGTACAATCACAACCCACAAACTAGGATCTAAGTTTGATACAGTCACAACCCACAAAATGGGGAACCTGGATCTATCGAATCATGTAAGCCAGCCAGATCTAGCAAGCAGGCCAACAGACCAAACAGTTTGCTTGTGACAGACAGACAGACAGACAGACAGACAGACAGACAGACAGACAGACAGACAGACAGACAGACAGACAGACAGACAGACAGACAGACAGACAGACAGACAGACAGACAGACAGACAGACAGACAGACAGACAGACAGACAGACAGACAGACAGACAGACAGACAGACAGACAGACAGACAGACAGACAGACAGACAGACAGACAGACAGACAGACAGACAGACAGACAGACAGACAGACAGACAGACAGACAGACAGACAGACAGACCAAACAGTTTGCTTGTGACAGACAGACAGACAGACGAAACAGTTTGCTTGTGACAGACCAAACTGTTTGCTTGTGACAGACAGACAGACCAAACTGTTTGCTTGTGGCAGACAGACCAAACTGTTTATGACAGACAGACCAAACTGTTTGCTTGTGACAGACAGACAGACCAAACTGTTTGCTTGTGACAGACAGACCAAACTGTTTGCTTGTGACAGACAGACAGACCAAACAGTGAGTCCATCAACTGTGAGAAGAAAGTGTCGTGCAGTGCAGATCAATGAACCAGCCATCATTACATCAGGTGTAACAAGCTGGCTGCATATTGATGTTGTCATTATAAACTGCCATGGGTGGGGTGGGGGGTAGCTGGTGATGGGGGGGGGGGAGGGGAGGTCACACCTGTACAGCAGGATCATTGCTATTATGTAACATGACATTTAATGACAATAAAAATTGTCTTGGAGACAGATGAAAAAATTGAGCATGACGAATTGGAAACAAAAAAATCTAAAACATGAACTGAATGACATGAACTATGAACACGTTAACATGTTATTCACAAAATCGGCCACCTATTGCTTACATTATTATGTGAATGTCTTTGATGCATACAATCCAATATATATATACCCACACTTACAAACACTTCCCTTAGTTCACCACAATTCTTTTACACACACACACATCTCACAACAACAGTGTTGATAAAATTGTTATGTAAGTTATACAATCCTCTGTCTTTTGTGTATGCAATATCTTTATGTGAATAGAGGAAAAACAAGCAGTAGCTTTTTATTGCTTGTACTGTAGGCCCTTTGTAGGCAGTATGGTATTCTACACAAACCTACAGTTCTAGACCTACTCTATATGAAACAGTTGCTCTAGAACTATTCTATATATGAAACAGATGTTTTAGACCTATTCTATATGAAACAGCTGCTCTTGACCTATTCTATATGAAACAACTGTTTTAGACCTATTCTATATGAAACAGCTGTTCAAGACCTAATCAAACATTTTTGACTAATAAAGAAGAGGTTGTTACTTTTAAAAAACATTAAAAATGAGCTTTTATGGATGTTTCCAAAAATAACACTAAACAATATCAAGATGCACATGTTAGTGTGGCCTAATAGTCAGATATTCAGATAGAAGATAGTCAGGTAGATAGTCAAATATTCAGATAGATATTCAGATAAGAGAGTGGTGAATCATTTGTTGTTGCCATAGTGGTAGCAGGATAGCTCCAGCCAGTTGTGTTAAAATCTCATGAATGTGTTTACCAGAGATAGCTTCAAAAGTGAATTTTCAAGCCGTTTAAAAATATTTTACTTATTGATATACAATATGACATCAGCATGAAAAATATTGTAGTTACTGATATAAGATATGAAGTTACCAAGAAATCTATTGTATCTACTGATATGATACGACATCAGCATGAAAAATATTGTACTTACTTATATGTGATGTTAAATTATCCTTATGAACGACATCCCCAAGAAAAATATTGACCATCTTGTAGAGGACGCTCATGCCCATTTGATTGTCATCAATTGGAGTTTGTTGACTCCAGGAAAATGAAAATGTTGATAAACATAAGGCACTGAACAAAAGTAATTTTGATCCCATTTTTGTAGGATGATAAATGTTGTATTCAAAATCTGGTTGAATTTTAAATATTAGTTGTACTTATTAAACTTTGAAAATACTCTCCTGCCCTTTTGTCACTGGAATAATTAAAAAAAAATTATTAATTTCTTTTTTAAAGCAACAAGTTATCAACAACCCTTCAAGACACGCTTATTTCAAACAGTATATAGCAGACATAGATTCCATATTCTAAAATCTCCATCACAACTGCAATAAATGCTGTTTGTAAAAAAAAATAAACCTAAATCAATATGAAACTAAGATTTATCTTTTCATAACATTGTGTAAAAGATGTTTCACCTACACACCAAAATCAATGGTGATACGGGATTATCTTAACTTAAAATTGTGTAAAGATGTTACACCTACAAGCTCAAAATAATATTTTTTAGTATTTCTTGCCGTTTAAAATAAAAGCTAAGCATAATATAGGATTTAAATTGTATTTAAATGCATCAAGAAAATAAAATAGAATGGGGCCATGGTTGGTCATATGTTATTGATAATACTATGAATGACTATGTAAAACAGGATGAACAAAATCCCAGATGCAACTCATTGCCTTGCTAAAACTGGCCACTAATCAGAGAACTACTTTTATAAAGGCATATTACATACATATATACACATGCATATATATATATATATATATATATATATATATATATATATATATATATATATATATATATATATATATATATATATATATATATATATATCAGTGGCGTAGCGAGGTCGGGTGTCACCCGGTGCGGCACTTAATGGTGTCACCCCACAGATTTGCACCCCCCCCCCCCCCCCTCAAACTTTCGATTTGCACCCCCCTCAAATTTTTCTCTATATATTTTGCTATTATTTGCCTTGGTGTCACCTCCCTAAATGGTGTCACCCGGTGCGGTCCGCACCCCCCACTCCTCCCCCCTTATATATATATATATATATATATATATATATAAGCCTATAGGCCTATATAGGCCTATATATATATAATCATTGCTTATCATTATATGATTATGTGGCAGGTAGATCTTATAAATTATTTTAAACTGTTAGGCCTATTTTTTTTTTTTATTTTACAAGCCAAACTGTTTATGTAATGTAAGCCTATTATTAATTATTTTTAATGTTTTTGTTAACTTTGTTAATACTAATATATCTAGTAGGCTCCTGTTAACTAGGCCCTACAGAATTATTAAATAATTGATATTATGATAAATTGCAGATTGTAACATTATGAGAATATGATTGTTGCCATATGCCATATAAGAAATAGCCTGTTTAACATCTTGTCTTAAACTAATCTCTTTATTTTTTTTTAAATTAACAGTTTCCATCTGTAACAATTACAATAACATGGCCTAGATCTAGGTCATTACTTTTTTTTAAAAAATCAATTGAGGTCTGCAGTTTTTGCATTATTTAGTTCATCTAAATTCTAAATCTTGATAATAATTAGGCCCTATAGGCCTATAATAATAATATAATAATCTAGATTCTAGACTGCATCTATCTAGTTAAAATAATCTATTCAACATTATTACATTAATACTTAATTAATAGGAAAACATGTTTAGCAGTTAGATCTAGAATCTAGACCTAGATCTAGATCAAGTAAGACGTAAGTTATTCTCTATAATTTTAATTTGCTAGAAAAAAAGATCACTGACTAAAAATAAAATACTAAAGACTTGTGAGACTGAGAATAGACTAAGCACTAAACTATACAAATTGAAATCATTAAAATATCCAAAACCACAAGAAAAACACATGATGAGCACCAGTGTAAGGCAGGAAAAGTTGATCAAAAAGCCTAGAATCTAGACTAGATCTAGACTACATTGTGTTGTTAATCCTACTGAAAGTCTAGATCTGAGTCTAGAGTTGTTCATGTTGCCTGTGTGTGATGCTCATGATTAGTCGGCCTGTCCCAGTAGCCTCCCTTTCCCGTTCCGGTTAGCGATTTCGATAGGCCTACACTACATGAACAAACAGGCTGTTTATTTAAAATTAGTTTCATCTAGATCTGGTTATTAAAATAGCGTATGTGGTATAAAATAAGGTAAAATCTTAGTTTAGCGTCGTAAATTCGGCCAAAACTAGTAATGTAGGAGAGAGTGAATTAATGAATATGTCGTTAAATATGAGTATATTTTCGTATATTTTGATAAAATATTATAAATAATTAAATAATAAATCACTATTAATGGTTAAATCAATTTAAATATCCTGAAATTAATTTTTATCAACCCTGTTCGAGATAGTAAATTTGCTATTAAAAACAGCAGCCATCTTAAGAAAAAGTAATTTAGAGTAGCTTCCCTTTCATTTCTATTCGTATGAAAATGTACTTAAATATGATTGTCTTGTTGTATAGTCCGTATTACAAAGCATTTTTTTTTTAAATTCTGCTCTTTAAAAACAAACAACTTTATTAATTCTAGAAGCATTGTGAGATGCAACCTGTATCCATGTATTAAATCACGTTTTTTTTAAAACTAATGTTTATTAGATCTTACTATTACTATATAGTTTGAGTTTTTTCTTATTGTTTGAATGTTCACTATTTTCATTTCAGGTTTTTCTTTTCAATCGTAACTTATGACATTTTTTTTTACTTCTCTTTACCTTAATTAAACCCCAACCACCGTCATATTTTTGTTGTCAATGTCACAACAAGTCATAATGTAAAAAAATTACGCTTCACTCTGCCTTATCTAAGATCTCTAACCATAATTTTGACAGCATTAAATGTTTGTCATCATTTATATATACAGAGAGACAAAATGTATTATCCACCAGCTTCCCTCGTAAAACATCATCTAAAACAATGAACCAGTCCACCCCTTAAAGTGTGTGTTGTCATTTTGGTCGATCGCAAGTCTTCACCTGCCAGACACATTTAGGTTATCCTTTGTTGTCAAAATGTCAATATCAAGTACCCAAGTGAGTAATATGGGGTTGTCCATAAATGATGTCACATATGATTTGCTACGGGAGTGAGTGAAAATTTGTGACGTCAACTCTGGCGGCTCCGCAATTTATGACGTGTCGGTCTCATGAAAGTAGGTGAACGGGGAAAAATACCTAGGTGGTTGATGGAGAACCTCTATAATGCTTTGTTCGATCAAAATAACGATAAATAAGCATTAGTATACGTATACCTTGCTCAAAACGAATCATCACAAATGTTGCAAGCCTGCTAGTTTAAGACATTTGGCAAAACGGCCTCAAGACATTATCCCCGTCAAAAAGGCTTGCCACCAAATGCCTGCCGACGAATAAGCCGCGTCTAATGCGGGGCGTTAGGAATATGGCCATTAGCATGGGCCGCGTTAGAGCACCAGTAGGCTATCGCGCTTTGTAAGATGTCGTAAATACTTTAATTCAATTTCGCGAAACTGCGCGAAAATTTAGTAACGTTCCATTGTTTAAGGAAATTTATTTTCTTGGGCTCAAATTGAAATATCATGTTGACTGTCTGGCTCTTAATTTCAGAATATCACTTTTAATGTATCATGATTCAGAACTATAATTTACTTTAATATAAGTGTCATCTTATCGTTTATTGTGCTACAAAATCGGACGGCCATCCTGGTTTCACCAAGCTTCTTTTGGAGCTTAATATGTGTAGTCGAGTTCTATACGGTGAGAGCTTAATACATTTTTAAAGGGCCGAAAGTCTCAAGACAGCAAGCTTGCAGAAATAACCACGTATGTTTAAATGGACGAGTGATAGATATGTTAGGGGCTGTTTAATTGAACACCAACATATGTAATCAAATTAAATCTCGCATAAGTGTCAAAAAGGCAGTGCTTGTTTTTTTCTATAAAATTAGCCTAACGGTCGGCGGTACCGGTACATGACGTCACGTGCGAGCGTTAACTCGGTGACGATGTGCTAAGTGGGGGAATGAAAAAGGAGGGGTTCAAGAAATGCGACTCTCGGCAAGCTTTTTACATTTTTTGACCCTTCTTAATAGTTCTATCGTCCCCACTGAGAAAATGGATCACCAATGAATGACGCTTCATACTTCTACAGCTGGTCTTTCTCCCACAGCCATCCCCTGTTTTCACGAAAAAAAAAACCTGACCCGTCTCCAAAATCACATCGCTGAGTTCTACTCAACCTCTCCCCACCACAAATCACAATTTCTATATGAAACAATATGTTCATATGTTTGCTCTTTAATAATGCACGCTGTCATTACTATCTTAAGAGCGACGTCATTTATGAGCGATCTAATATTGATTTGCTTACTGCAAATAAAGTGTTCAAAAGTTCGACCTCCCAACAATTGTTGTGGTCTTGGATGCACACTATTAAGTCTGAAAAGGTCTATTAGTCATTTATGTCAACTATATTTAAAAAAAGAAAGAAAAATTACTATACAGAGGGTCATTCATAAATGACGTCACGCTTTTTAAACCTCCCCCCTCCCCTCCGTCACACGTCGTCACAAAAAGCCAGACCCCCCCCTAAAATGACGTCACACCTCAGCCTACAAATCCCCCCCCCCCCCCTCAAAATTGCAGTTGAATTGTTTTTAAACAGCTATATTTTTCCAAAATCTTGTCTGAACTCTGTCAAAATAGAGTATTTTAATCAATTGTTATTACAATGTATTAAAACAGTTTTCTAAAACGCAAAATAACGTATAAAATTCGTTTTCTAACATTGCTTTTTTAAAATGCAAAAGTGTGACGTCGCACCATCTGAACCCCCCCCCCTCTCCCCCTCATCACACAACGTCACAAAATTACGGACCCCCCCTACGAATGTGACGTCATTTATGGACGACCCCCAGGCATATATTAAAACAATACAAAACAATCATATTAAACCACAAAGTCAACACAAAAGACATACGAATAGACAATTTATTGTTTTCAAAACATGGCCGCAGCTTGTATTTCCTCATTGTTGTTTCAAACGGGGTAGTTTAAAGTTTATTCCAGGATATTTATGACTGGTTTGGTAATGGATTGTGATTTGTTATTCAATTATCTGTTATATTATGTAAAATATGACATAAATATGGCCAAATGAAAGAAATATTCATTAGTTACCTTCATCGCACATTACTAGCTACGTTGGAATTTACGACGCTAAACTAAGATTTTACCTAAAATAATAGATCTATATAGATTGATTTTAGACTTATTAACAACATTTAAAATCGACTTATGTAATTGCATATTCAGCCCTCGGAATGGAAAACACGTTTGTAATCGTGAATACGAGTAGGCCTATAATTTTGAGTTGTCGTGATTTTAAACAGGCCTACAGGTTACAGGTCTACAACAATAGTTTTCATAAGCCACTAAAGCCTAGTCTAGATGTAGATTCTGGTAGATCTATTTCCATATATTTGTCCCATTCTTTCCAGAACACCTGGCCTTCAAAATAAAGTAGCACGAGGAGGGCCATCTCACACGACATCACATAAACAAAAAGTTGTGATAAATTGTTAAAATACGTATAAATCTTCTAGATCTTGACATAATTTATGGATATCGCTATAGTTTAACCATTAATTTTATAGTTTTGCCGTAATGTTTGGAAGCCTATTGAGACTGACTACATTTAACGGAAAGCAGAGGCGTAGCGAAGGGGGGTGGGTGGCGAGTGGGTATATAAACTATATATGTCCCCAGGCGCCGACCCTAGGGGCGCCAAAATGGGTTGGGAAAAAATTAAAAGCTCATTTTAGCTGCAGATTTTAATTATAAACACGAAAAATATAAGGGGGGGGGGCGCAAAATTGAAAGTTTGCCCCCGGGCGCCGGGAGGGGTCGCTACGCCTCTGGCGGAAAGCATTTTAGAACTAGTCATGCACGAACAATTTTCGAATCATTTAATGTGCGTTTTAACCATTAGAAAATATAACAGCCCCGACCATATGCGTTGTAATGTTGAATATGCATCCTTTAGACCACGGGGACATTGAAGTATTTCAAAATTGTTGAAATATTTTTTACGTTCTGTTGATTACAGTAACATTATTAAACGAGAAAAATGGCCCGTTGAGGAAGGATACAACGGGCGCTAGGTTGATAGTGCTGTCTCTTTTCTCTAAACTAAAACCAACCCACCCCCACCCCACACACACACACCCACCCCCCCACCCCCACCCCACACACACCACCCCCCACCCCCACCCCCCCACACCCCCCCCCCAAAAAAAAAACATGTCTACCGTCCCATTCAACGAAATATAATTATATACTTTTTCCAGTGTCCGCCCCTCCCCGAAAATTCTACCCCCGCCACCGAAAATTTCAAGTACCCCCACCCCTCTCCGGGGAGGAAAAAGTCTAAATTAAAACCACCCCCCACACCCCACCCCCCCAAACACCCAACCACCCCCCACACACACACTCTCCGGCTTGAGATGCTAAATGTGGCGACGTCATACTTCGTTTTTCGAATTACTATGCAGGTTTTTAATTTGCTTGTGTTTTCTCTAGAGCGTTCTTGTCAGACAGAGCGTTCTTGTCACATACACAGACAGCGAAACTATTAGTATTAATAAAGCTGGAATGATCTCCCCTAAAATTTCTCGTATATTACATTTTTTAAATAGAATAGAATTGCGTAGAAAATCATTACGCACCAAATGAACGTAAAAAAAATGTGTGTGTAATATAGCCGAAAGTGTGTGCTTTACATAGTAAACGTTGATTAATTTTTGAAAATTTACTAAACATCTAATTCAGTCAAATATTATGTCACAGTCTATTGTCGTTAAGTCTAGACCTAATGAAAAGTTTTGAAGAAATAGGTCCGGTAGAAGTATTTTATTTTCAGAAATCGGAAATAGTGTAAAGTACTACTTTCACAGGAAATCACTCAAAATACGAAAGAATTAAGAGAATAGGATCTTATAAATATGCTTAAAATTCCGTTCACTTAAATGAAACGGTACTCGGGTTATTGGTATTTTGGAAAACAGAAACAGAGTAAAGTCGTACCCCTTTTGTTTATCAGAGGTAACTAAATAAATTGAAAGCAATCCAATTATATGATCGTATACTTATGTATGAAATTTCGTCTACCTAACTAGAAAAGTACTCAAGTTATTATAGTTCTCACACAGAAATAAAACAAAGTACCACTTCCGGTAAACGGATTGTTCAAAATTAGAAAGGAACATGCAATTTCGTACACCTCGTCTAATTTCAACGGTACTCCAGTTATTGGCTATTTAGAAACCGGAAGTAGAGTGAATACTTTAAACGTTCAAAAGTTGATATAGAATTACAAATTCGATATAATACTAATACCTATATATAACAGAACTGAAACGGTAGGCTCTACTCAAATTCTCGAGTTAACAGACAGACACACACAAAATTAGAAAGGTGTAAAATGTCGAGATAATCAACATTTTCACTTCGATTTTTTTAACGATTACATTTACAATACTTCCACTATACCTCGTATACGAGAAAGTAAAATGTCGAGATAGTCAAAATTTTGACTTCGATTTTTTGAACGATTACATTTACAATACTTCCACTATACCTCGTATACGAGAAAGTAAAATGTCCCAAACTATACACAGTACATCTCCATGGTGAGCCAGTCTAGTTTACCCGGGGCAGCGTGCCCTCATATGTTAGTTAGGGGCAGCGTGCCGCCATATTGACCTTTCTATGTTAAGGGCGGTGGAGGGGGGGGGGGCAGAGTTTCTTCCAGGCATCTCTTCGGGGGGCTCCGCCCCCCCCCCCTTCCCCCGAACGAGATGGATTTTAGATAGCAAGCAATCTCTTTTACTAGTGTCCGCCCCCCCCCCCCCGAAAAATGTTGACCGCCCCACCCCCGAAAATTTCAAGTGCCCCCCCCCCCCCGGAGAAAAAAGTCTGGAAGAAACACTGGGAGGGGGGGGACATATTGACCTCACTATGTTGGCAGAGTTCTGACAAGATTTGTGGGAAAATATCGATGTTTTAAGAAAAATTCAACATCAATTTTAAGGGGGGTTGTAGGCTGAGGTGTGACGTCATTTTAGGGGGGGGGGTCTGGCTTTTTGTGACCACGTGTGACGGAGGGGAGGTAAAAATCGGCTTAAAAAGCGTGACGTCATTTATGGATGACCCCTTATGTAACAAATATATCCTTTTACCCAAGTCACCCCCCCCCCCCTCCCCCCCCAAAAAAAAGTCTGAAAGAAACTGAGCGAGCTTTATCTGCCCGGGGATTCAGTCTCGGGGCGGATGGGTTGACAATCATGTCTCTCCTCCCGACCACATTACTCACATAAATGTACCAGTTTGTGACCGTACCCGGATGACGTCAGAGCTGGCCGTAAGACGTGTGATGTGTGCCACTAGACACGGGTGACACAGTGGCCGTGTGTGTCAACATCCGGTCCACTCCTTCACTCAACGATCAGACAACAACGTGTGTCGTTATCTCTCCTACAATCTCACGGACGCTAGACAACACGGACGTTGTGCTGGTGTACATGAGATGATTCATTGATTGTGTCGATAACTCAGGACACACCGGACCTACCTACAGTCTGGGCTAATCGCACCACACGATAGGTGGTGGAGGCTGATGGTTATTTTATTAGATTCAAGTACTAAAGAAATCATCATTAGGAAGTGGATCTAGATCTATTCAATATGTTGTAACTGATGACATACGCTTGTATCATCCCTATCTTTAACATTCATTCAGAATGTCTTCTAGGCATCTATTCGTGAGGGGTAGGGGTTGAGCTCCCCCCCCCCCCCCGAAGAAAGTCTACCGCTCCCCCCTACCCCCTCCGGACGAAATCGAATTAATATATAAAATGTATACTTTTACAAATGTTCAAATGACCGGGGGGGGGGGGGGAAGAGGAATAAATAGGTCTAGTTAATTAATTTCCAAAAATCAAATGACACTGATGAGTGCTTGATATAAATGTTTTAACTTTTTAAAGTATTAATTTAAAATAAATCAAATGGGTCATAGTCAAGTAGCTAATCATTGTATTGCGTTTGTTTCATGCGATTTTTTTCAAAACCAGCAAGGGACACAACTGTTACAATTTTAACATGCCGGAATTATATCCCTTATAATCAAATTTCGAATGAAAGTTCAAAGAAGTTAAAAACTCCAAAAATAAAATTTGTGGTAAAATGAATAACAATAATCATCTTGTCAGCGGCCTATGTCCCAGTAGGGACGACAGGCAAACCTAACCTAATAAATCATCACAGTGAGCGAATTTACATCAAACAAATCAATTCCAAAATTGAAAAAACTGGAGAAACATTTATTTTTACACAACCAAAATGGGAAAAAAATGGTGAACTATATCTGACAACAAATACATGGAAATGGTTTTGTGTTAACATTAGGATAAGTGAGTTAACACTTCACATGCTGTAAGAAATGAACCACTTAGTGGCGTTGAAATAAAACATTCCCTAGTAATAAAAAAAAACACCAAAAAAAACTTTCTGATAAAAATACAATGTTACATATTTATTGGTGTTTTTTTTTTGTAAAGAAATTTTCTTCCATCACATTTGTGTCAACAATAAACATGGCAAAGTAGAAATGATCTGTGTAACGCTGAAAGTTTTAATATGGTTGAACCACACTACTAAAACAAATTTGCTTACATTTCTCTTATATATAGAAATTTAAAATTCTTTTCATCCTTTTATAACTGTGACATTGTTGGTACATCAGCAACAAGCTAATAATAATTTCAGCTTGCAGCGTCATTCTAATGTCCAGGTACAAATAGATGAAATTAGAATTTTAGATTTTTTAAAAACATGTACACACCTAATAGCTGAGGTGTCCCACTCATACAATCATGTACAAACAAAAACTATGATAATCTATTTGAAAACATGTTCATTTAGGAGATGGCTAAGTAAGAGACTGAAGTTCATGTACAAAAAAATAAATTAGTTACATAGATAACCCAACACTCTAGGATTTACCAGCAGCTTTGAGGGATGATATTTTTAATGCTGCAATTAACAACTGTGTTGTATTAGCGTAATCTCCAAATTCTTTCTCTCTGTGTTCAAAAAGAATTCCTTGATCTTTTGGTCCAACCACAAACACACCTGTTATAAATGTTGGATTTAAAAAAGTTTATATTTTAAAAAGTTACAAAAAACTTTGTTGACAATATATTGTTTGTAACTTTATAGTCTAAATGAAAGTTTGATAAAAAGAACACATTTTGTACTTAATGTACCTCCTAAAATGCGCCCTTCTCCCTCCAGGTTGCCTTCAATGCCCTTTTTTTTGGTGCTCCATATCTTAGAAATGACACTTAACCTAAGCAAACCTGTCCAAAGCATCTTTCTTTCCACAGGCCCATAGAAACGGCGCTAGAAATGTGAACACAAGTATTAAATCATCCATACATAGGATTTATTAGCATATGTGTAAAGATTTAAAAATATCATTTGTAGTAACAAAGTTCACAACCAACCTCTTTATCAAGAAAAATTTCTCCTTTAAAAAATGGTTGGAACTCAGCGACACCGAGATCCTCATGTACGACAGCGTACAGAGGAATATTCAGGCCGTCAAGCTGAGGTTTCAGGGAGGACAGTTCTAAGGCTTCCTTCAGAGTTTGAAAAGTTTGCAAATTAGTATCAAAAGGTTAAACAATTTAAAAAATACTATTAGAAAGTAATACATTTAATAATTTATTTGACCTTTGATTTGAGTTTAAAAATTCAGTTTTATATTTCAATAATCTTCATGCACCCTTAGGAAAATCTATACTATTATTATGTGTTGTTTTATTTCTGTGCACAATCTAGATCCTTTGTGTTTTCATTTCAAGATATTCTTTATTGTACTTGGCTCAATTCTCTAAGCTCCTCTACTATATAAATAAAGTGTACACTGACTTTTGTTGGGCAATATCATTAAAATCCTGTACAATCTTGTCTAGCTTTGAAAATAAAAAAAGATTCAATATAATTTATTAAAAAATTACCTCCCTGCACAATAATCATCCTGGTCTCCTGACCGCCATGATAACAGCACCATTTTTGACCCATAATAGTGATGCCTGTCACAAGGAGTTAGTAAATTTACATTTTTTTAAAACACATTTCAAACAGTCAATCATGGTTAATTATAACCAGACTGAATTTAGAAATACAATAATTTAACATTGAATTTATTGAGTAAAAAATACAGTGAGCAACTATATGCCTCATGACTGTAAAAATGATTGTTTTACCAAGAATTCTTTTGGTTCACTCCCTAGTGTTTGAAGTTTTGTGTTTGCCAAATACGCAAGAGTTGCTTGTTGTGGCTTAGGAACAAATGGATTAGATGGCAGATTGCAAAGCACTCCAATGCCAACTACGGCAACAGCCCCTAATAAAGCAAGTTTGCTCAGCATACCCATGGCTTGTAGACTCCTGCAATTAATTATTGTTGTTTAAACATTATCAATACATAAACCTAATGTAATCTAGTTCTTCTTCTTCTGCTTCATTCTTATTTTTAGTGTTAGAAGGGATCGAGCCTTATCTGCCAGAGGGTTTAAACTGGAGACTTTTTAAAATTTATCAACCATGAGCTTTTTGACGACTCGACTACGCCTCCATCACAATTAAGGATACGTGTCAACTGGTTATGCGCCACTGACTCCGATTTCAGTCTGCTTTTCTTTTTGGATTTGCTTCCATAGCCTTTGTCCAACCAAGAACAAACTACAAGGCAGCAGTTGTTTGATTTTGGAGTTGTCTCTTCTAGAAGAGTGGCTGTCCCCAGCTAACGAGCCTCATCTGCCCGAGATCTAGTTCTAATTTTTTCAAAAACCTAGAGATAATGTAGCCTTTGTAGACCGAATGGTCCATGGGGCAAACAAAGAATCTTGTGTAATCAACCTTATGCATGCTGCCTTTACCTTCCCAAACTAGATTTTTTTGAGCACTGAAAACAGAGTTAGGTGTCATCAACATCTTTATGTCTCTTCTGCTTAACCACACTATCTCATAGTCTGCAGCAAGTTTCCAAAATGACAACTGTCTCCAAATAATTCACAATTATTCATGATGACGAACTTGTCCAATTTAAATTAAATGTTAACGCATTTTAGTTTTAAATAAAGTGAATATAATAAAACCACAACTTTTACATTCTTAGAAACAATATATAGGCCTATATATATATATATATATATATATATATATATATATATATATATATGTGTGTGTGTGTGTGTGTGTGTGTGTGTTTTAAACCCTGCCCATGAAAATCCTGAAAAAACCCACTGGTATACAGTACAGGTAGTAAATCTAGTGATAATTTTAAAATTATTTTAATTAAAGAAAAATAACTTACAGTAAGAAGTCAAACATTTTTAAATTTCTTGACTGTGTTATTCCATTATTTTGTTACTTTTTATCTGCAGATTCATTATTCATTAAAAAGACTAGCTAACATGTCCTAAATAATTAAGTTATTATTAAATATCTAGATTCTAGATCTAAATAGAGATTTATTAGATTAATGAATATACCAATATGCCTAATTACTCATAATATTTATAAAATTAAAATGGTTCCCGTTGAACTTTGTATCTGGCATCAGTGGCATGTCAGCAAATCAACAACAACAAAAATAACGGAGTAAAACACACAAAGCGTAAATGATTCAATAAACGTGAGTTTGCAACATTAGCAACACAATTTAAAAATAAAAAACAAATTGCACGTGCGTGTGATACTAGATCATATCTATATTATTATGAACAATTATTACCGGTTAGCGTACTGATGTTTACTAGGCTAATAAATCTCTACTGATTCTAGATCTAGAGCTAGAATCTAGAGATCTATGTTTTGAGTTCCATAGAGCGATCAGCTCTTTTAAGTTTTACGAAACACGATAGATGTCCAGAGGTCAAGGTTGTCACCTGATGCTAGTTTCCTGTTTTCCTATTAAAAGTTCGTGTTTGTTTTTAAAATTTAGAAGCAAAACTTAGATTTAGAGGTCTTCTAGATCTAGAACACAGCAAATCTAGATTGTACTTATTGCCTAATTTGATTACGGAGTTTAAGGCAAAACTGTTTTATTGCTTTGACACTCCAATATTTAAAATCATGCTGAAACCAAGAGTGCTGTCAGAGGTCCTAAGCCAAGCCAATACTGGAGGAGTTGGAAGCACCTTGTGAGTTATCAGTTAAGTTAATAGATCTAGTTATTGATAGATTTTCTCACTAAATCTAAAACTTACGCAATTTTCAATTTAAACATGACCACTGAATAATAAACATAAATATTTATTGGCCGCATTTATGCAGTTCGCTCAGCGTACGGTTACGCGTAAGGCCGCCTTTACGCTTAATCTTTGCCCTAGTACTTACTTAGTAGTCCTAGTAGGTGGCACGCGATCTAAAAAAAAACAGATATCAGGACTGCCCGATCTTTTTTTCGTGGTAACAATTTAATGTTGACATAGATCTAGATCAAGTTTAAGTGTATTTATATTATTTCAACACCTAAGAGTCTAGTACTTGTAAAAAAAAAAGTACAATGTGGTGTCAAGAAAAGTTTGTGAGGTCAGATGGGTCAGTCAGATTATAGTCCTAGATCTAGCAGCAACCTAGCTAAATCAAACTGTCCTTTAACCTTTAGGCCTAGCTATTTAGCATGTGTAATAGTAGATCTAAGTCTATATTATTTATCCTATGTGAACTTAAAAAAAAATTCAATTTGCTTGAGGGGGGGGGGGGGGAGGAAGAGAGTGAAGTTGTGTTGTGTCATGGAGAGGTCTGTTGTTGTGCATGGCAGTGAGTGACGACAATAAATATTAAATTAAGTAATTTAGTTTGAAACGAACTAAAAACATATAAATATTGAAGTGACTACGCCTCTCGCAGAGCGTGGCCCCTATTTTTAAATGAGCCTAATTGTTATTAGCAGGGTTCCCACGCAGCCGGGAAAAAACCGGGAATTTCGAAATTTAATTTCCCGGTCTGGAAAACCGGGAATTTTGATGAATAGCCGGGAAATATCTTTAAAAACCGGGAAACCTTGCTTCTTGAGGTTTTTTTCTTTCGGGTGTCGCGAGACTTAAACCGGGTATAGGCCTATCCAATCTCCAGTCTCGCCACCTCTCGTGACCTAGTTTTGGCGTACAAAACTAGTGTTGCCGGTTCTCGTGGTGCCTCTTTACCGTTGATCTGTTTTCCGCTCATCACGCAAGAGTACATTGTACATCTACTGCTATGCTAGCTTAGACCTAGGGTTACCCAACATTGGCGTGATGTCATTTTTTTTCAGGATTTGTTTAAAATTTAGATTACACGTGGTTTTTTTTTTGGCTTATTTGAACTCGTCGTGTAGTATAGGGATGGACCTAAATAAACGTTATTAAAGGACTAGGATCGCGCGCGAGTACAGTCTTGTTTAATATTATCACATATGTTAATGATAACCGTTGTAGCAGACTATTTCACTGATTTTTAAAAAAAATTTTGGGGAAGCCAGCGTTTCTTGCGTTTGTGAAAAAAAAATTAAAGGCTAGTGACGTCACCAACAATGTCAAATGCGTATGGGTCAACTACAATTATTTCATGGGGAGGGGAGATAAAAAAAAAGGTAACAACTGGAGTAAATAGGGCTTTCATGAACTCACTGTGACCCCAAGTAGGCCCACGCCGCGTTCATACAGCGTGGTGGTGTGTTTTTTTTTTTGGGAGGGGGGGGAGTAGTGACGTCATAGGCTATCTCAAATAGCAGTTGTTCATGTTATAACGTATGCTATAGGCCTTGACAATGATCTCGACGTCGTCTAGTTGGGGGGGGGGGGGGGAGGGGGGATGCCATACCGTCAATTTTAAATAGCAGTCCAAGGCTATTTGAAATTCATACATATTGATGTGTTTACTATTGTCATAAGTATGGGTCTGCTTAGCTTGGAAGGTTTTTCTCTTCAAAATACGATTTATTTTAAATTTTAAAAAATAGGCCCTAGGATCTAATTTCGGTTATTTCGGTTGATCTCATTGTCTATTTAACTAAAATATTAAAATTACTATTAGGCTCATTTAAAAAAAAAATTTAAGTTTAAAAAATACAAGTACCTCTAAGAAACGACATAAACATTAAGGGGTCGTCCATAAATGACGTCACACTCGTAGGAGGGAGGGGGGGGGGGGGCTCCGTAATTTTGTGATGGTGTATGATGAGGCGGAGGGGGGGGGGGGTCAGATGGTGTGACGTCACTTTTTTTTTGCAGTATAAAAAAGCAATGTTAGAAAACGAGTATTAGCCGTTATTTTGCGTTTGAGAAAACGGTTTTAATAAATCGTAATAGGAATAGATCAAAATACTCTGTTGACAGAGTTCTGATAAGATTTTGGAAAAATATCGATATTTTAAGAAAAATTTAACAGCATTTGGGGGGGGGGGGGGGGGGGTCTGGCTTTTATGTGACGAGGTGTGACGGAGGGGAGGGGGGTGGGAGGTAAAAATCGTCAAAAAAAGCGTGATGTCATTTATGGATGACCTCTAAATTGAAAACAGTGCGAATGATCATTATAGTTTAAATAAGTTCAATTTTGAGGGGGGAAAAACGAACATTCATTTTTTTAACTTTAAAAAAAAACTTTCAGTATTATTTCATAGTAACAGAAACTTCTTTTATTTTAGATATTAGCTATACTAAGGTATTGATTAGTACAATAGTAGCAGTGAGGAGTATTTTTCAAAGTTCTTGTCTACTTTAAGCAAATTATTTGTTGTTTACAGTTTGTTGGTTGAGTGAATAGCTACACACTTTTGGCTGACTACACACTTTATTAAACTCAATATAGGAAGTGCTAAAATTAAATAGGCCTTCTTAGATATGTTACAAACTGCAGTGTACATTTCTACAACTTTTTAGATTAGATTTTAAAGTGTGACTACTCTCAGCTTAACTCACTATATTTATATTAATTGTATAACATAAGCAGCTGTTTTGTATTGGGGGAGGTTCTAGAAATGTAATATTACATTATGGGATCAAGATGCGTATACTATTTTAAACTATTTTTGTTATATGCACAATCATTTAAATATTAATTTTTGTTTAAAGATTGTTATAAAATTAAAATCACCAAAGGAATGTATAAAAAATATAACATGTTTCGTTAAGTAAGTTAAGTATTGCCAAATTTTGTTTATAAAAATTTCTGACATAAAATCAAGTTTCAGGGTTTAAAAATGTAAGTTTATGGATTAAATTTTAGGATATAATTTGCTTTAAAAAATAAGTGGCACCCCTAAAAAATGTCTGCTTTTTTTGTGGTTTAATTAAATTTAATTTGGCACGTTACTTGGAATAGCAGGGAATTTTCTGGTAAAAAAATTGTGGGAACCCTGTATTAGGCTAGCCTTTTTAATACCAGGTTAAGGAGATCCAGTTAACTAGAATTGAATTAATGAATTACAAATAGGATTTCTGGGCAGATAAATAGATTATAAAGGCATTTTCAAGTAGATAATATTGGGTCTCGGTCTAGAGATGTGTAATATATAAAAAAACCTATTAGGCCTAAATACTGACAAGCCTATCTAGATCTATGAACAGCCTAAATTAAAAATTATAATGCCCATTTTTATAAGCTACAGTTTTTACAGTTTTATTTATAGGAAACTATAATGGAAAGGAAAGTTCAACACAGAAATATGAGCACTTTAATTAATATGATTTTAATTATTTATCAAAGGATGAGCCAACATCAGTAAACATTTTTTAAATAAGAATACTGTGAACTGTCAATCTTTGAGTTTTAGCACATCTCAATACACTACATTCAGAAACATTACAAGAACCAAAATTTTCTAAATTAATAAAATTGTCTAAATTAATAATAAAATTCTTACCATGTCATACACTGACACAAATGCTGGGTTTATGGCAAATTGTTTAGTATCTCGATTATTATACTGTATTTGTAGGCTCTAAATCTATACATACCTGTCAAATATGATGGAAGGTTTCTCGCAAACTCTTCTGTGTCCATAGAATTTTAGAAATTATTTCACAATGTTACAAGGATTTATGTTTTCATTTTCAAGTTACAAAAATGTTTCATGTAGGCCTACCTGTTTTTAAGAAATGTTATTGAAGCTTTTCAGTTATAAATAAAGATTAGCAATGTTTTCATCAGATGCAACCATATTTGTGAACTTTGTTAACATCTTTTTAAAGTTATTTTTTTTTTTGTAAATGGACACCATCGAGTTGACGAGATTCCTTCCGTAATGTTGTTGACATGGAATAAAAATGTGCTTTTTTAGATTTAGGACCATAAAACTAATAAAAGATAAAATTTTATTAAAAACTTAAGCCTAAAATTAATTCAGAAATAATTTGTTGAGTTTAAGGCTACATTTCTATTTATTTTCATCAAGCCTAAGTTATAACCCGATGTTTCACTTTCGTAAGACAAACATTGATTGGCTGTAAAGGAACTCCGTGATCGATTTCTGACAGCCCCACTTTATAGTTATTTTGTTTACAAAACTTTGCAGATCAGGTTTTTAAATAACTATGCAAATTTAAACAACATGACCTATTTTTTCTATTTTTAGCTTACAATGTGTACAATAAAATTTATGGCGGCCATTGTTTATGTCGCCATTACACGTGAAAACCAAATTGTTTTTGCTTTTTTTTTTTAATTTTTATTTAGTTACCGAAAATTTTAAAAACATCAAATACACCCAATCTTTAGTAAAGTCCGAAAAAACCATACAGACAGGATTTTATAACCATATTAATTGTAACTACGCCGTGCCTGATTTTTAAATTAATTTATGCACCTCTCAAATACCTTTGAGACTTTTCTCGCTGGTGTCCATTACAGGCCTAGTTAGGATTTCAGGGGAAAAACCACTCAGGCCTAAACCTCCTGAGTCTTTTTTAAATTAATTCCTTGTTTTCTCAAGTTAACAAATTAACATTAGCACATGTTCCTCTTTTTTGCTGCGAATTCCTCTTTTTGTGTATGACTTCTCCTACTTTTGGTTGTCTTGGGTAGGCATGTCTGCTTTTAAACTATGATGGTTCATTGTTAGCCTTACATCTTCATGTTGACTACTGACTTCAAATTTTTAAAACCAGATTATGGTTTCTATTTCCAGACTTTTAAACAATGAGGGTTCATTGTTAGCCTTACATCTTCATGTTGACTATTGACTTCAAATTTTTAAAACCATTCTATTTCCAGACTTTTAAACAGTGAGGGATCATTGTTAGCCTTACATCTTCATGTTGACTACTGACTTCAAATTTTTAAAACCAGATTATGGTTTCTATTTCCAGACTTTTAAACAGTGAGGGATCATTGTTAGCCTTACATCTTCATGTTGACTACTGACTTCAAATTTTTAAAACCAGATTATGGTTTCTATTTCCAGACTTTTAAACAATGAGGGTTCATTGTTAGCCTTACATCTTCATGTTGACTATTGACTTCAAATTTTTAAAACCATTCTATTTCCAGACTTTTAAACAGTGAGGGATCATTGTTAGCCTTACATCTTCATGTTGACTACTGACTTCAAATTTTTAAAACCAGATTATGGTTTCTATTTCCAGACTTTTAAACAGTGAGGGATCATTGTTAGCCTTACATCTTCATGTTGACTATTGACTTCAAATTTTTAAAACCATTCTATTTCCAGACTTTTAAACAGTGAGGGATCATTGTTAGCCTTACATCTTCATGTTGACTACTGACTTCAAATTTTTAAAACCAGATTATGGTTTCTATTTCCAGACTTTTAAACAGTGAGGGATCATTGTTAGCCTTCTCAGGTTTTGGTGATAAAGATGCAGCTGCTGCAGGTGCTATAGCAAGTAATATCTGGTCGTCATTTCACAAAAGTGGACAGATTTCTTTAGACGATTCTAAACTTAAATGTGTGCTTGTGGATTGCAAGGTATGTCATTTATCTGAGCAGCAATAGAAGTAGATTTACTGACAAAATGGTTAGAAAAGTTTAAAAATTAATATAATTTTATATCTTCATGATTTTCATATAAATGGCAAGAAGTCTGATAAGAGTTTCAGAATTTGAACATTGCTTGAATTTTTCAGCAAGGTAAAATTGCCATCACCAAAGTAGCCAACCTGTTGTTATGCTTGTGTGCAACTGAAACAGTCAGTTATGGAATGCTGAAAACCAAGGTAAAACATGCATTACTTTTATTACTGCTTTTATTTTATGGTAATCATATTTTATTTTCAATTGAGTTGGTCAAGGCATTGTCCAGTATGTTTGAAAGAATTAATGTCTTTATTTTTTGGACCAGTTTCAAAAGCTCTTATTTCATAATAGGATGTGGTTTAAAAAAAAAAACCAGTCTGCGTTATGTTACCAAACCCTAACAGAGCTTGTTTCTTATTTTTCAAGATTGACTAGGAAAATATTGTACCTGATACTAACATTAAATCATAAAAATATTTACCTTATAATTTTACCTGGGTTGTATTGACTTGTACCTGGGCTGTTTGATGTGTGTGTTGATGTTTGTTTCAGATTGAAGCCATGGCAACGTACCTGGAGGAGCCCTTATCTCAAGTTGCATCATCCTGATAGGACGCCCTTCTCTCCGACATTTTAATGAAATTCCTTATGTCTTTCTCTCTGACAAACTGCATTACTATTGGGTTAATTGGATCAGTTTTCCGATCCAGCAGTCAATGAATTAATGCATGGGTGACAGTTTGTGTGTTTGGGTGCACTGTACATATAATAGCTTGTTTTAAAATATTTTTAGTGTTTTTTTAATGCTGAAAGATGTTTGAGTAAAACTTGGTAAGTTTATGTAAGACTGCAGCTTTTGTTTTATTGAAGAAACTTGTATGTTCTAACTATTTTAATATATGTTCTGGTAATCTTGAAATGTTTTAGACCTGATCACATACATAAGACATTTTGAAAGCACACAGGTATTTTATGCTGGCAGAGTCTAGACATAAATTCCCTGCACTTCAAATGTGAACTTGATCTCTTGTTTGTATGGGGAAAATCTTTTTAAAAAAATACCTTTGTGTGTTCAAAATGTCAATCGAAACATTTTCCATTTTAATTGAATGCATTTGTTTCAATACTGGTTTGATTTTATGCTGTTTTTTTTTTTGAAAGAAAAAAGAATAGGTATAAGACATATTAAAAGTTTCTATTTTGATGTTTAGAAAGATTTTTTTTGGTATTTAGATAATAATAAACAAGTGATAAAGAGGGTGCTAGTAGTGGATACCTATGAATATTCCCACAGTTAATGGCCATTATGTAGCTACATTTCTAGAATTTAATAATACCAATTTTTTGCTTGAATAAATATGGTGAAACACCTTACTTGAATGTGTTGTTAACTTAATTCCCTTTGACTGCCACATGACCTTGAATTGAGGTAATAGAGTGCTCCCATGCAATACTTGTGTATTGATCTTCACAATTTTGTTGAAAGACAGAAGTGAAATATCCCCCCCCCCCCCCCCATATCAATTTTAAATTAAAATGTATCATCAGGGGAGATAAGTTTAAAATTATCCTAATGCTATTCATGTTAAAACTTAAAATGTACCCTCACAAATCACAGGAAAGGTTTGTGTATGTAAATATTTTTTTATTTCAGAACATTAACACACTGATGACATTGAATTAACAAATAAAGAATATCTAACAAATTTCTTTTTGTTGAAAAATACCCCCCCCTTTAATTCTAGTTGGCACACATCACTTTAGTAGGCCTACTGGTATACATGAAATGGAGATTTTACTTTAAAAAAATTAGCAATTTTAAAAGTATTCATTGTTATAAAAAAATTTTAAAAATTTGAATGCCTGTTACCACATAGAGAAAATGTTACATTATATACATAAGACATAACCAGTACAGCAGTACAAGATTATTTTAAGAGTAATCAACTGTTTAAAAAATCTGTCACCTAACCATTTTTTAGGAGGATTTGTAACTACAAGAAGTTTTTTCATTGAAAGCAGACATTAAACATAGCCCATAATGTAAACAATTCCCCTGAGGCTTTTTAGCTGTCTCAGATCATTTTCAACAGAATTTGAACCCCTATCTTCTTATCAATCATTTCAACACACTGACCTACTGAACCTTAGTTTATCATAGTTTTTATTGACAGACAAACAGCCATCATCTTACATAACAAAGTGGTGTTATCAGATAAGCACAAGGCTGTCATCAACAGAATCACTGCTCTTTCAGTTGATACAAGGCTGGCTCATTTAATAGGAAAACACTACAGCTTTTCTAGCTGATACAAAGCTTGTATTTCCTTAGCATAGTTATTGAGGGGGGTCTCAAGAATCAAAGGGATGTTGTTGAGCCTAGAGTCATTCATCAAAAACTTAAAACAATCTACACCAATATGGCCTTTTCCAATGTTTTCATGACGATCTCTCCGAGATCCCATAACACCTACAACAGAAAAAGAAAATTATAGAGACAATATGAAAGCTGTCTTATATTTCTCAAAAAACAATATGTGGATTCAAGAAAATACCTTTAGAATCATTCAAGTGCATTGCACACAAATATTTGAGGCCAATAATTTTATCAAAGTCTTTCATTAGTTTCTCATAGCCCTTCCTTGTGCTTAGGTTATAGCCTGTGAAGAAGAAAACAAACTGTAGCTTCATGCAGGATACTAATGTCCAATTCATTTAAGGTAATCTTTTTGTGGGCTGTACAGAAATATCAAGACATGCCTCACCATAAATGATTATAAGAAAAACTACATTTATGTTTGTAAAACTTAGTTCTACTAGAGCAGGGGTCTCCAAACTTTTCAGCCAGAGGGCCGCGTTAACTATCAAATATCAGTTCGGAGGCCAGAGATTCTGGTATCTCTTTGGGGTGGCTGTGCCCCCCCCCCCAACAAAATATAATTTATATCGAAATGTTTACATATTTTAAATGCAACCCCCTCCAGGAGAAAAAGGCTGAAAGAAACACTGTTGGAGGCCGACAACACACTTGAGGTCCAAGTTTGTTCTCCTCGGGCAAACAAAATCCCACCCGCCATTTTTTGAACTTGTCTCTAAGGAAGTCATGTGCTTGCAATTCAATGACCTCCATCTGCAGTTCATCTGGGCAACTGGTTACATTTGCTTCAATTGGGGTTTGAAATGCCTTTGAATCCTAGTCAGAAAACCGCTACTGAAGCTGCTGATCTTTAATGATCTGGCATGCAAATGATGTAGGGAACTCAGCTGTTGTTTCAGACATGAAGACCTTGCACTGCTGAAAGTGCGTCAAGTTGTTGCCCTGAACTTGTTCCAAAAATATGGAACAGCTGTCCAGCGACTCTTCCATTGCAAATGAAAAATTGCGAAACTTGTTAGCAGTTTTCACTATTTGAGTTACAATGTTTTCATCGATGTCTGCAACACTGAGGGCAATGGTATTTGCACCCAAAGTTACATTTTCAAATTTTCTGGGCAAAGTTCCTCAGCCACTTCTAACAAACATTTTTTTTTTCCGTGAACAAAAAGATCGCCTGCGGTCCGTAGTTTGGAGACCCCTGTACTATAGGGAAAAAAAAATTTAAAAAAAAACAACATTTACAACATTCCACAGTGCAGTATATTCCTACACTGTAATGTGCTACTAAGAGCTCTCAATGCCGTAATGTTATTCAGAATATGCAACACAGCAATATATTTTACCAAGAAGATTTGCAAGTCTGTCTTGTATCTAATTTCAGCTTTTCCAAAGTAGTAATTAATTTACCTCAATACATTTTAGTTTTTCATTCATGTTGTCTTATTAGATCATTGTGTCTTAAAAGTGCTTGTCTTAAATAGGGGCCTAATATTAAATTAAACTTTTCTTCTGTGCTTTCCACTGAGTTCTGACTAAAATACTAGAACAGCATACAAAGACTAGTCTAAAAATTTAAAATTTTAAACTTGACTTCCTTAGGTTAAACCAAAAAATCTATACAAGGGTAGATATGATATCCTAGAGTGTTATCTAAAACTGTTTGAATGCACATTCAGTTCCAAATGTTTGTTATCTCTTACCACTGCAGTACAGTAAAATCCTATTTGTCTGTTTAAAAAAATTACATCTTAAAAATCAAATATAAAAATATGCTACAAAATTACTTAAGTTAAAAAAATTATAAGTGACAAAAATATAAATTAATTTTTTTTCCTGAATTAACTAAAGCTGAGATGAAACAAATAAATAATTTTATTTATTTAAAAAATAGTGTGTTTACAGAGCTGATAAGGAAAATGAACCGTAATCAGAATGATATCAAGTAGGCCTGAAAGAAATGTTAATTCTATCACAAATATCTGAACCAGTGCATGATTTTAAACTGTTACACACTATGCAAGGTAAATTCATTTTGCTTTCAACTGCAGTGACCTGCTCATTTTTATTTATTTTAGAAATAAAGAATTACAAATCAATTAGAAATCATTCAATTTTTTATGACATTTTTTGTCACCATGCTATTTGCCAAAAAAATTGAAGGCTAACTTTGGTGTTGCATGCACTTGTTTAAAACAAGTTTGGTATTAGAACAATTAATTCACCATATTAATTAAAATATTTTAAAACCATTTTATTTTGCTGTGCTGATCCCAATACCTTCAAAAGTTGAACAAAAGTTGAAGAGTGGAGTTTTACCTGCAGCATGGGCGTGGCATGTGTCCAGACATACCCCAACTCTGGACTTGTCCTTAACTCTCTCAATGATGGCCTTAATCTCCTCCAATGTCCCCCCAACTGTATGTCCCTGAGTGGCCATGTTTTCTATAACTGAAAGAAGAATTCACAGATTGCCAGCTATTGATATTTCATATACTGATTCCTTTAACTGAAAGAAGAATTCACAGATTGCCAGCTATTGATATTTCATATGCTGATTCCTTTAACTGAAAGAAGAATTCCCATTAACAGATTGCCAGCTATTGATATTTCATATACTGATTCCTTTAACTGAAAGAAGAATTCCCATTAACAGATTGCCAGCTATTGATATTTCATATACTGATTCCTTTCCTTATTGGGTTCCTTTTTACAGAAACCGAAGATTGATTATTACATCTAAATCACAAACCTGTTTTTACAAAAAATGTTTCACTGTGTGCCATATTAATGCTCTCTGCAACTTTATTGATACATTCCTCAGCTAACTCTTTCCCACAGGAAGACCCTAAGTACAAAATCAGAGCATTAGAATCAACAAAACCTACAGAATCTAAAAATTGTGTGATAAATTAATAATGTGAATAGTACAATATCTAAATGTTATAAAAGCTAGCAAATCAAATTTTGTTAAAGCAGTGATTTTGAAAATTGGAGAAATAATATCTCTATACAGGTGGATGTGCTTAAAAAATGCTATTCTAGATTAATTGTTACAGGTACAATTGGTTTCCTCACCAGGGTGAAAAATATACTTAGTTAGACCTAACATCTCACAACGTTTTAGTTCTTGTACGAATCTGCGCCTTGAATTATTTAAATTTTCTGAATCTGGGGATCCACAATTTATCCATAGAGACCCGTGAACCACAATCAGGTGAGGTGGGTAGCCTTTCTCCTAAATTAAATGACATAAAGAAGAAACAATTAACTTACTTAACAATTTGTTTTATTGCTACATATATTCAAATAATAACAAGAAACAATTAACTTAACAAATTATTTAATTGCTACATATCTTCAAATAATAACAAAAGTAAGATGCCACTGGTCTTACTTGACACAAATTTTTGAACTTTTCGACTTCTGTAGGTGTCCATTTTCTAGTAGTTCCTCTCAAGCTTATACTAAAAGCCCTGGCCTGCATATATTCAGCCTCTTCTACTGCATTACTTAGACTCCCTGATGGGCAGAGAAAGACTTTATTTCTTTATCTAAGCCCTTGTATTATGATAACATTTTATTCTATTTAGGCTATAAATAGATTTCAAGATGTGTATATTCAGAATTACTAAATAAAGTATAAGGGCCAAATTTTAAATATTCTGAAAGTATCATCCCTCTGTATATATTATTTGTCACAACAGAATTACTTGACTAGCTTTAAAAAAATTTATTTCCCCTATCCGCGGTAATGTGAAGGTGGCTGTGCATAGAACGGACCACACTGTGGCCAGAGAAACAGGTGTCCTATTTTATTTACCCAACTGACCATCCATTCTGAAAGGGTAACTTTCCTTCCCTTTTAACTATTATTACAACTCAACCAACATCTACTGTATTTGCTTCTAGTTTATTTAAAAGTTTGATGAAAAAGTAAAAAATTACCTTCAATTGATAGATGCACACCAACAAACTTCTTACTCGATGCACTGAGCTCATCATACATCTGTTCAAGTTTGTCTGTGACAGTGTCTAATGCACTGAGCTCATCATACATCTGTTCAAGTTTGTCTGTGACAGTGTCTAATGCACTGAGCTCATCATACATCTGTTCAAGTTTGTCCAATTCACTCAGCTTACACATTCTATGTTTTTCCAAGACAGAGGTCCACTGAGTGTTATGATCTGTGTCCAATTGTACTGCATATTTGGACAGAGTTTGGACAGATCTTTGACTAGCTCTGGTCACTTTCCCATGCAAGTTAGCTGATGCTTGTGTCCCACCTGCCAGTTTCTTATTGGTTGAAGCACTGAGGGCTTCTTCAATTGTAGACTTTCTTAGAGCTACAGTCACAACAGTCTTTCTTGCCCTAAGAGCCCAACCCAATACAGGGACAATCTTTTCCATCTTTTTGTCTTCAGCAGTTTTATCTATTTCAGTTCCAGCAGTTTTATCTATTTCAGTTCCAGCAGTTTTATCTATTTCAGTTCCGACAATATTGTCTTTATCAGCTTGACTAATATTGTCGTGTGTCCCACAGATGGGTGTGATACTTGCAGTCACAACTTTGGTTGGTTTACCTTTCAGTTTTTTGTCTCTTTCCTTTTTAGCACCTGAAGTTTTAAAAAAAAGTATCATTTGCATGAGCGCTGATAAATAATGAAGATGTAAATGTAAACACAATCTTACCTGGTTTCGTATCAATCCCTGCAGCCTGGCCTGATGGTTCAAGTTTTTTTGCTTGACTCCTGGTTACCCTTACGGAGATTCCAGAATTTTCTTTTCCCTTTGCCTCAACGGAGGAGATGCCACGCCCACTTCTGTATCTTGTTGTCCTGATGTCTGTTGGTTTTTGGTCCTCCAAATTTACCAGTTTAGTGGAGTCTTTTCTCTTATGGGTCCTTTTGGTTTGTTTCGTCTCTTTTTTTGTGAGTAAATCCATCTTTTGAGTATCAGCAGCTTGCATGGCAGATTCTTTATTGTCTACTGTTTTAATCAGCAGGTGATTCAAGTTTTTATTCCTTAGTTTTGAAGACGACTGAGATTTCTTATCTTTACCAAAACAATCTATCACATTTTTCATACTTGTATTAATATTTCCTTCATTATTTGAAATATTTTTTGACAGCGTCTTTTTCTTTTTTGTTTCTTTACAATCAGCATCAACATTGGAATGGATTTTTGGTGGTTTCCCAGAAGGCTCCTTTTCTGTATCTCCATACATCCTAGTTTTTGGTGGTTTCCCAGAAAGTTTCTGTGTTGTATCTCCATACATCCTAGTTTTTGGTGGTTTCCCAGAAAGTTTCTGTGTTGAATCTCCATACATCCTAGTTTTTGGTGGTTTCCCAGAAAGTTTCTGTGTTGTATCTCCATACATCCTAGTTTTTGGTGGTTTCCCAGATGGCTTCTGTGTTGTATCTCCATTATTTCCCTGTTTTTGTCTTCTGGTTTTGCCCTGTAGCTGCGTAGTCTTCTGTTTTGGTGGAATGACTTCAACATTGTGCAGTAGATCATCTCTTGGGTCATCATTCTGCTTGACCTGACTCAACTGACAGTCATGACTGATATTTGCTGACTGTAAAGTTTGAATCTGAATACTGACATCATTCCCATCATCAATGCTATGATGGTTACTCTGGATATCCAAAGACGTCAGTGATGTCACTCTTTGATTCTCAGACTCTTCTGCATTTGTGTGAGACGTGTCATGGACTGAGTTCATGAAAGCAGAAATTTGCAGTGGACTAAAAGAAGCATCGTCAAAGGAAACCGTCAATACAGACTGGCCATTATCCCTGGGGGTGCTTCTATCATTGTGACAGACCACAGACTGTGGTCTATATGGGCTCACACCTTGTACAATTTTGGATAGTTTGGATACTCCTATGTAACTCTCAGTTTTTTCATCAAATTCAGCAGTTTGTGGCAACAGAAAAGGTGTGTCAGATGTTAGCGACAACTTGTGACCTTCACCTTGTTTCACATTCATTAGCTCACCATTTGAAATATGTACATCTAAAGCAGCTGTTGCAACACTTGCTATATGTACATCATCACCACAACCTTTGACCTTTCTACAGTAGCTTGTTTTGGCTTTCTGTTTAGTCTTTGAATCTATTGGATTTGGTTGGTCGGATAATTTAGTTGGACCTTGAATTAAAGCCGGAAATCTTTCCGGAGACTTTCTACAGGTCACGGATGTTTGCTCTCCTCTGATTGGCGATGCAGGCTTGTTGGTTTTATTGACGTTTTGATGGCTGACCACTGACTCTTGTCCTGAACTGTTCTCTTGTTGGGGCATTGCATCATCCTCACACAGATGTTGATGCTTTAGGTTTTCAATGGACTTGAGGAGATTGATCCTGCGCAGTGTGATGGCCCCTGTGGAGCTGGGTGTTGGGACAGCACTACAGTGGGCGTCCAGTGCCCCACCCTTAAACAGCACATTTGTGTGTTGGAAATGTAGGGGCGTCACCAAATTGTGGTTGGCCAATTGTTCCTTACTATAAAAATCCATTATACCAGATATTACTGAAATTCTGCTTTTTCTGAAACAAACAAAACATCTTACAAAGCAATATTTAATTAGATAAATTGAATTTTTAAATAAAACCTCTACAGATTAAAGATTTATTTGTGGGAGCTCTAATTTAAAATATAACTTGTGTTTATTTTCACTGTCATTGTTGGTACTCTGCTACAATTAGTTTTTCAAAATTTTATTATTAACCTGTGTCAAAGCAAAAGTTCCGAATTGTCAAATTAAAATTTGATTTCAAATGTGTGCCGTACATTTTTAATTTCGGAACACTTTTTTGTATATGAAGTCAGTCTGTTCTAGTTGGCAATCATCTTAATAATTTAATAATTAATAATTATTAATTAATGATGCTTGCAAAAATCTAGTCGGCAATTCTATCTTGTGGTTTATGTCTCCGCTGGTAGTTCTATATGCCTATGGTGGAGGGTTAGATTTAGAATGGTTAGAGCTAGGGCAAAGGCCAGGGTGTGCAATAACAGTACGAAATCACTTAAGTTTTGCAATACTGACCTGGTGTTATATTTACTCAGTAATCAGTAAAGTTTAAAAAAAAATGTATAGATCGTAGATCTAGTTGAAAGTAGGCCTAATTAATATTATAATTAATTATTTTAATTACAAATAATAACTAGATCTAGCTAGATCGTTAGACGTTATCTTATTATCTTAAGAGTAAGACCTGCAGGATGTTCCACTAAAAAGGTGAATAAGATAATAACCCTGTATGAATAAGGCACTAAACTACTCTATCACAACTTTCAAAAGCGTTTCTTTCGTCATCCAATGTTTGACTTCTAACATTGAAAACTGCTTGTTGCACCATCTAGATCTAGATTATTCTAGCCTGTGATCTACCTACTCAACACTGGCCTATCAGCACTAAGCTCGTCTGCAAGTTTTCAAAGCAAGGGAGATAACTATACTCTCTCGTGAATTTCTTTTATTTGAGTAAACTACCTTTAGCTGCAGTGCCGTGGGGGTAGTGGTGTAGTCAAGTGAAGCCGTTAGCAGTGTTTCTTCCAGACTTTTTTCTCCGGGGGGGGGGGGGGGGGTGCCACTTGATATTTTCGGAGGGGAGCTGTCAACATTTTTTGGCGGGGGGGGGGGGGGCGGAAACAAGTAAAAGTGTATATTTACTAAATTCCATCTCGTTGGAAGAGATGCCTGGAAGAAACTCTGGCCGTTAGGCCTACGATTGAAATTGAGAGCAAGCAGTTAGTCATTGGCCGTTCGTTAGCTTATCTTTTGTAACTAGGTTCTAGTTCTAGGTGCAGTTCTAAAAGTTAATGTTGGAGTCGGATCAAATAGTACGGATTAAATATTTGCTGATTGCTGCCTGATTGCAAAGTTAGTGTCAAGGTTTAATAAGTAGGCTTAGGGCCTATAGTATAGCCTATAGGTAAACTATATAATATTATATATAGGCCCCTAGCCTATATATTATATATAGTATATAATAATATATTATTTATAATATATATATATATGTTACATATCGGTAATGAGTTTAATGAGTGATTTTTAAATGAAGTGACACCAAGGGGCAATTTGGGTCCAGTCAGACCTACAAGGTAAAGATGTGCTAGGATACTGACCAGTGAAGGTAGAATGGGGGGGGGGGGGAGTGAGTGCTAGGATACTGAACGGTGAAGGTAGAATGGGGGGGGGGAGTGACATACCTTATAAAATGGAATATATTTTGCATTTCTCATTAAATAGCGATAGTAGAATTGACTAGTTTTTCAATCCCCCAAATAAAATAGGCTAGAATACCTAGTGATAAAGAGCATAAAACAATTGTAACAATAATGTGATAGGTTACATTTTAATAATTGTAACAATAATGTGATAGGTTACATTTTAATAATTGTGATAATAATGTGATAGGTTACATTTTAATAATTGTGATAATAATGTGATAGGTTACATTTTAATCATTGTGATAATAATGTGATAGGTTACATTTTAATCATTGTGATAATAATGTGATAGGTTACATTTTAATAATTGTGATAATAATGTAATGTCTTGTCTTACAGAAGATGGATGTCATCAGGAATATCAAAAGCATGAGCGCAGCCCAGTTTTCTGGTCTTCAAATATTTGAGCTCATTTATTTAATGACTTTGGCGTTCCTGCCATTTGTGGTGGCTATTCGGGAGGTTACCTATGCCATATTTGCCATTTTGGCTGTTGTACTTTTTGTGGCCATCTGTAAGAAATGTCTGAAGCGGACAGTTCACCCAGAAGGGAAGGTTGTATTGATCACTGGATGTGACTCAGGTTTGAACATTTTTATTTTTATTTACTGATAATTATAATTGATACAACCTTTTGAGGTATAATGGTCAGTCCTTAGGTCAGATGAACCAGAGTTGACCTATTTCATTATCCCTAGTAGCAATCATGTGCTGTGATACTTAACCACACCTGCCAAGTATGATGTTTATTTTGTTATAAAATTATTACAGTACAGTCAACATTCTAATTCTTAGTTCAATTAAAAAGAAGTTTCTGTAAACTATCTCTTAAAGTTTAATTTAATTTGTTGTGAAACTTATCTAAGCTTCTCAACACAAATGTCTGTAGGCTATGTAACTACCATCTTGTGATAGTTTAAAACTCTATACAAATTCTTCCTCATCTTGCTAACACCATGACCTTTGACCCCATCATGGCTGCAGGGCTGGGGAACGCGTGTGCAAGGAGATTGGACTCCCTTGGGTTTACTGTAGTCGCCGCCTGCTACAATACAGAAAGTGACGGTGCACAAAGATTAAAAGAAGCCTCTTATGGTCATCTTCACACGGTCAAGCTGGACATTACCGATGACAACAGCATCAAGCAATGTCTGCTCAAAGTCAAAAGTCTGTGTGGACAGAAAGGTAAGAATTTAGTGCTCAGAAACTGTTTACACTCAATTTGAAAACTTTTTTAATAGTGTAAAGCAAGGTTTGAATACTTTGTGCAGGACTTTGGGGCATCATCAACAATGCTGGGGTGGCAAGTTTTGGTGATGTTGAGATCTCTCCACTTGAGTCCTACCGCCAAGTGATGGAAGTGAATCTGTTTGGGACTTTAAGAATGATACAGACATTTTTACCTCTTGTTCGTCTTGCTAAAGGTGCTGTAGTATAACCGAAGTTAATTAGTTGGGTTAACTAAAGAAATCTGGGGGGAGGGGGGTTGAATTACTTTTTATTCCTTAGGAAACATGACTAAATTTTTTCAGGTCGAATAATTACTATAACTGGGACCAACGGACGCCTGTCTTTTCCTGGCCAATCAGCTTTCAGCATGTCAGTCCACGGCCTGGAGGCTCTGAGTGATTCTCTACGCTATGAAATGAGACAGTTTGGGGTGAAGGTCATCACGGTCAGACCAGGAAACTTTGCCGGAGCTACAGGACTTTTAAACAGAAATGGGGTAAAGTTTTATAAGGTCTTGGTTAATCTTACTTCTAGCCGTAGGTCATATTACTGCTAGCTGTAGGTCATGTTACAATGCTACTGCTATAGCTGTAGGTCATGTTACACCACAGACTGTTTTTTTAAAAGTTCAACAGTTACTTGTCCCTGTTGTTGTTAGTGCTTGATTTTTGGTCTTTTTTTGTCAGCTTGAGAAAGTCCAGACAACTTTTGAAGAAATCAAAAAGAAAACCAATCCAGAAATTCTCAGGTCATATGGAAAAAATTATTTGGACAATCAGTTGAAGCAGGTAGCTATGTTCTCTGTCCTGTTGCAGCATGTTTGTTAAAAGTATAAGAAGCATGTTTGTTAAAAGTATTAGAAGCATGTTTGTTAAAAGTATTAGAAGCATGTTTGTTGAAAGTATTAGAAGCATGTTTGTTAAAAGTATTAGAAGCATGTTTGTTGAAAGTATTAGAAGCATGAATGTTGGTATGGATTACTTTGTGCTGCAGTGGCACAGGTGGCTTACATACATTTTTTCCAGCTGTCTGAGCTGTCTAAATATTTTATTCCAGCTGTCTGAGCTGTCTAAATATTTTATTCCAGCTGTCTGAGCTGTCTAAATATTTTATTCCAGCTGTCTGAGCTGTCTAAATATTTTATTCCAGCTGTCTAAATATTTTATTCCAGCTGTCTGAGCTGTCTAAATATTTTATTTCAGCTGTCTGAGCTATCTAAATCAACAGCTGGAAGTTTGGCTAGTGTTATGGATGCGCTAGAGGATGCTGTAGAGAGGAAACGCCCTAAGTCAGTGTATATGGTGGACGGAGGCAATCAGCTGTTTGACCTGGGCAATGTGAGTAGTCGGGCATTGACCAAATCTAATTTTTTAATTACATTTTACTAGACCAAATCTAATTTTTTAATTACATTTTACTAGACCAAATCTAATTTTTTAATTAGATTTTACCGGACCAAATGTGATTTTTTAGTTAGATTTTACTGGAGGTAATCTGATTTTTAAATTAGATTTTACTGGACCAAATCTAATTTTTTAAATTAGATTTTACTGGACCAAATCTAATTTTTTAATTAGATTTTACTGGACCAAATCTAATGTTTCAGTTAGATTTTACTGGACCAAATCTAATTTTTTAATTAGATTTTACTGGACCAAATCTAATTTTTTAGTTAGATTTTACTGGACCAAATCTAATTTTTTAATTAGATTTTACTGGACCAAATCTAATTTTTTAATTAGATTTTACTGGACCAAATGTGATTTTTTAATTAGATTTTACTGGAGAAAATGTGATTTTTAAATTATATTTTACTGGACCAAATGTGATTTTTTAGTTAGATTTTACTGGACCAAATGTGATTTTTTAATTAGATTTTACTGGACCAAATCTAATTTTTTAATTAGATTTTACTGGACCAAATCTAATTTTTTAATTAGATTTTACTGGAGAAAATCTGATTTTTTAATTAGATTTTACTGGAGAAAATCTGATTTTTTAATTAGATTTTACTAGAGAAAATGTGATTATTAAATTAGATTTTGCTGGAGAAAATGTCCTGTGCCAAACAGAAAACTAGATAGAACGTTTTTTTTTAGTCTAAGTAAAAGCTTGTATTTGATACATTTTTTGTTTTTTGCACAGGTTTTAATTCGACTTGGCCCACTTTTACCTTCAAGCTTGCTTGACTATATCGTCCGCAAGGTGTATGGATACAAGCCCGATAGATAAGCTATCCATCCATAAAACTTATTAGTGATAGGTTATAAATTATATTTGAGGTGAAATTTTTAATCAAATTAATTATTTATTAATGACTTGGTATTGTATTTAAAAATGTCATTTTAAAAAAGTTAGCTTGTAAATCTATGCATTTGTTATAGATTTGTATGACGCTGTTTGCCTCAACACAAACAGTCGACAGCTAAAATAATTTTATCATGACTTTTGTACATACATAGGTCTATATACAATTGGTAGGTCTATATACAATTGGTAGGTCTATATACAATTGGTAGGTCTATATACAATTGGTAGGTCTATATACAATTGGTAGGTCTATACACAATTGGTAGGTCTATATACAATTGGTAGGTCTATATACAATTGGTAGGTCTATATACAATTGGTAGGTCTATATACAATTGGTAGGTCTATATACAATTGGTAGGTCTATATACAATTGGTAGGTCTATATACATTGTTGAAAACATTGTTACTTTACATTAGACATGTTTTTTATGCTAAAGGCAAAATAAATGTTGAAACTCTAAACAATATTGTTATCTTTTTTAAAAAGTTGGTCTATATGAAACCCACAATAAATGTTGATACTCTCAACAATACTGTTTTCTTTTTTAAAAGTTGGTCTATATGATGCCCACAATTATAAAAAAAAATGATACAGATACATTAATTCAAACAGCTTAAGTAATTGGTTCAGTTGTGGAATGAACCCAGGACCTCGTGTGTGAGGTGAGCGTGATATCCACTACTCTACTGAACTGAATTGCCGTAATGAAATTTATAAGGGCTATTAGAAACTTTTGAAATAAATTTGTAAAAACTTGTCGTTTAGTTGTATGTTGTAGTTTATACAACATTTGTAAAAACCTGTCGTTTAGTTGTATGTTGTAGTTTATACAACATTTGTAAAAAGGAGTGTTATATCAGATTACATCTTTGTACATAATGTAATCAGTCTGTCGAGGTTCAAGTCAATTATTTCATGTACACAGATGTACACAACTTTGTGTGGGCATGTACAGATGTACACAACTTTGTGTGGACATGTACAGATGTACACAACTTTGTGTGGGCATGTTGTACAGATGTACACAACTTTGTGTGGACATGTTGTACAGATGTACACAACTTTGTGTGGACATGTTGTACAGATGTACACAACTTTGTGTGGACATGTACAGATGTACACAACTTTGTGTGGGCATGTACAGATGTACACAACTTTGTGTGGGCATGTTGTACAGATGTACTCGACTTTGTGTGGGCATGTTGTACAGATGTACACAACTTTGTGTGGACATGTACAGATGTACTCAACTTTGTGTGGGCATGTACAGATGTACACAACTTTGTGTGGGCATGTTGTACAGATGTACACAACTTTGTGTGGACATGTACAGATGTACACAACTTTGTGTGGGACATGTTGAACAGATGTACACAACTTTGTGTAGACATGTACAGATGTACATAACTGTGTGGACATTTTGTACATGTTGTATAGAATATTATCAAGAAATGTTTAAAGATTTCTGGCTTGTATTCCTTCGGCTTGTAAAGTCTACAGTTTTATGAGCCTCTAGTCAAGCCCTTCATAGATATTTTGAAAAAGCTGGGTAGAACACTTCACGCTGATTGTGTCTCAAACAACTGGTGGGGTGGGGTGGGCAGGTGGCTTTTGATGACGGATTTTAGTCATGAGATTGTACACAATTTTATGTGGTTAGTGTACATCTGTCTAGAGCGTACACAAGTTCCATGAACATCTGAGGTGTAGACTACACCTGTTTTGTGTGTAGTGCAACCTGTCTCACGTGCAGAGTTTCTTCCAGGCATCTCGTTCGGGGGGGGGGGGGGGCTTTCCCCCCGAAGAAGGTCTACCGCCCCCCCCCCCCCCTCGAACGAGATGGATTTTATATAATAAACGTACATTTTTACTAGTGACCGCCCCCCCCGAAAAAGGTTGACCGCCTCCCCCCCCCCCCCGAAAATTTCAAAAGCCCCCCCCCCCCCCCCGGAGAAAAAAGTCTGGAAGAAACACTGCTCACGTGACTTGTGTACCTGTCTGATGTGATGTGTATGTCTCCCTACTTTAGTAGGCTTGTAATTTACAACAGTACCCAATCACTCGACTTATCGATCACAGCTCCCGATCTAGTATTGATCTCCGCGAGACAAGAGGCCATTATCAGACGTATTTTGTCTCCACGCTTGATTGGTTTGTCAGCTTATCAGACCCGTGTAGTGTCTCAACTTTTAATTGGTTTGTCAGCTTATCAGACCCGTGTAGTGTCTCAACTTTTAATTGGTTTGTCAGCTTATCAGACCCGTGTAGTGTCTCAACTTTTAATTGGTTTGTCAGCTTATCAGACCCGTGTAGTGTCTCAACTTTTAATTGGTTTGTCAGCTTATCAGACCCGTGTAGTGTCTCAACTTTTAATTGGTTTGTCAGCTTATCAGACCCGTGTAGTGTCTCAACTTTTAATTGGTTTGTCGATGTTCAATTATTTACACCGAAGGCTGAATGTTTGTTACATATTTTTAAATACCCGGTTATATATATATATATATATATATATATATATATATATATATATATATATATATATATATATATATATATGTTACGGTCAAAGCCCGAAGTGAAAAACATTGTAGTGCAGCTCATTCTTGTGGATCCTGTGGCAAAGATGTCCATGCTATTTGTGGAGTACCCAATGAAACAGACGAAGGGTACGAAGGGAACATTACCTGCAGATTGTGTCACAACAAACAAGACATCATGGAACACAGGTCAGCAGCTCATACTGGCTTGCAAAATCAAGGTGCTAAGATGCTTAAAACACCAAATACAAAATTTAAAGATGGTGAAGTGGGTGACAATGTACGCATCCGTGTTCCAGATATTGACAGAGGTCGCGGTGATCCCCAAAGCGTGATTGCAGTTGTCATGAGCGTCGAGGGCGGTTTCTACAAATTAGGAACGGAACATGGTGTTCTAAAACAACTGTATACTAGAAGTGAGTTTTCAATTCTTCACGAAAAACTGCTCTTATTGTCGTCAGTTGGCACTGAGGAAAAATCACTACGAACCATCGCATCTTCACAATCATTGACTGGGGGCCAAGGCTACACTCACTGCAATTGCACAACCAAGTGCACAACAAATCGCTGCAAGTGTAAAAATAACAAGCTGCTATGTAATTCTAAATGCCATAAAAGTTCAACTTGTTGTAACAAATTATAATAATGATTGATTGAGACTATAGTACCATAAAAAATTTGAATGTTTCTGTCATTTACTTTAATTAATAATCAATAAAGACTTAATTTCATGATCCTACCGGCATAAAAAAAAACAAAAATCTGCTCATGATCTTCTAATTAAGACTTTGGCCGGTCCACCATGGCCAGTCCGCGGACTGGCCGGCCAAAGGCCGAAATCAAGAGCTATTTCAGACTTTGGCCGGTCTACAATGGCCAGTCTGCGGATTGGCCGGCCAAAGGCCGAAATGAAGCAAAGTTTCGGACTTTGGCCGACCTATGGGAGGCGATATTGGCCAATGCGCGGATTGGCCGGCCAATCCTAGCATTGGCCGACTTCGGGCTTTGACCGTAACATATATATATATATATATATATATATTTATATGAAAGAACTAATTTTATTTAATATGGTGTTCGCTATAGGCCCTCCTTGGATGGTTTCTCCTCAGTCGACCTTGTCCGTCCACTTTGTGTATTGTTGACGTTTTGAGTCAATGACAGCCTTTGTACCTTGTCGGCTTTTTGTCTTCCCACTATACTTTGTTATGTAATGAGCGTGATAAATATGGGCAGTAAAGGTGGTTGACGTATGGTTGGGATGAGTTGAGGACATCAATTCATATTAACTTTACTATGTCTTCTTCCCATTTCACATTAATTCAAAGTTAGATCTATCCAGAGTTTCTTCCAGGCATCTCTTCCCCGACGAACGAAATTTATATAGAAATATATTCTTTTAACAGTGTCCACCCCCCCCCCCCCAAGAAAGTCTACCCCCCCCCCTCCCCGAGAAAAAAGTATGGTAGAAACACTGGGTCTATCTACTCCATAAAACAGTTCAGTCAGCGGTAGATCTAGCTACTCCATAAAACAGTTACTTGATTTTTTTATGTCGGAGGTTTTGTTAAGTGGGTGCTACAAGCAACGAAGGTAAAAATCAATAGCAGTCGAGATACGCGTTCTTATACTACCACATAAGGCAGTTATTTAATGGCCAAACTGACCGTACCTGCAGTCATGACTGGTCAAAGATAGGTTCCATATGACGTCATGGTGGTAAGTGGTAATTAAAACAGTTTTAGTTTAAAAATGATGTGTTTAGGATTTTGTTATATTAGTAGAATTGGGAGTGTTTAGTTTAGATTTAGACTAGCCATGGGACGAATGGGTTGGTGTGCTGTGGTGTGTAGTGGAGTGGTGGTATATGACATCATGACATCATGAATTATTATTTAATTAACACTGCCATTCAGTTGGGATGACCATTGAAACAATCATGACCAGTGTTTCTTTCACACACCTTTTTTTTCCTCCAGAGGAGAGGGGGCACTTGAAACTTTCGGGGAGAGGGGTGCTCTTAAATCTCCGGGGGAGGGGTTGAACTTCCCCCCTCCCCTCCACCACATAGTCAAACTAGGAATTCTGCCCGTTTTATGGCTAGCCTGATATTATCGTCCACCTAAAGTAGAGGTCCGACCGATACAGCTACACAATGTTTACATGGTCTGATAAATACACCACAGCAGACGGCCATTACATGGTCTAAAAAAATGTGCGAGCTAGACAGCCATTGTGATCCTGGCTTAATGTCAAATAAAAGCCTTAACGGAAATGGTTGAATGAAATTGGATACATTCTTTTGTTAATCGACCAAGCTAAAACTTGATCGATTCAAGCTCTCGGGAAATCTATTTAATTCTGCTCTGACATAGGCCTGTTTGAGCTTTGCTGTCATTTCAAGATGATTTTTTTTTTACATTTCAGTCAAGTTGGAAGTTGAAGCTGTGACTTTAAGTCACGTGAGGTGATTCGTGGTTCGAGCGAGTGATATCTAGGTACAAGCGAGGATCCAAGATTCGAACGAGTGATATCTAGGTACAAGCGAGGATCCAAGATTCGAACAAGTGGCTCCTAGCTAAAAGACTGACGAACAACAGATGCACCATGCAAGTTTCCACGGAGCTGAGAGAAGACGTCACATCCGGTCTACTAGCCAATAAAAGACTCCAAGATGGTGTACCATCCACCACCCACGATGGTGTAGTACCCACCACCCACGATGGTGCACCACCTTCCACCCACCATGGTGTAGTACCCACACCATCGAAGATGACTCTTACAAACAGTTTGCTACAAGCGATCTTAGACGGCAACATTAAGAAGGTGAGTTTTTAAGTGGCTATCTCCCCAGTTTTCTCAATGTTATCTCCCCAGTTTTCTCAATGTTATCTCCCCAGTTTTCTCAATGTTATCTCCCCAGTTTTCTCAATGTTATCTCCCCAGTTTTTTTTAATTGCTATCTCATCAGACTCATCACTAGAGTCAAAAATTAATTATAACATAGTCTCCAATAACCATTTTGGCCTAGCCGATTATGACATGAAGCACATCGCTCTAAGTATCTCATTTTTTGTTTGAGTACTTGTATGTCAATGCATTATATGAATGTTATCCACGCCCCAAAATATAAAGTTAACCGGCTGTCGAGTAGCGTAACGACCCCCCCCCCCCCCCCAAAAAAAAATGGCAAAAAAAAAAGGGTATTGACCACATCCCAAAAGCTGAAGTTAACTGTCAGAAAATGTTTCGCTTGGTCCCTCAGGTGAAGAAGTTCCTGGCCCGTGGGTCAAGTCTAAACTCCAGGAACGACTTTGGCTTTGGGTCACTGGTTGCGGCCCTGCATATCCAAGATGGCGCCATGAGAAGTCGGATGTTCCGGTTTTTGTTGAACAGGGGAGCTTCATACATGGCGAGGGATGAGCGCCATGACAGATCGGTCGTGCACTGGGCGGGGCTGCTGGGCAGGAGTGAGCAGGTAAAGTACCCTCTGTCGTTCAGTAAGACAGGATGATAGCAGAGTTAACGGCACCAAATGTGCTATAAGTTCAACGAGAGATATGTTATTCACACGGCAGCTATAAGCTGTCAGTGTTTTACTTACAAGCAGAAAACTTGTTACAGTTAGCCCAACATCCTGCATAGTCACGTGATGCTGCTGTTTCTATTTTTAGATCCAAACCCTGATGGAGGAGGCGGGCGGGGACCTGAGCCTGGAGTCACGTGACAAGGACGGCTACACGGCCCTGCACCACGCCGTGAGGGCCGGGGACCTCCCCACCGTGGACACGCTGGTCAAGTACCACCAGCGGTACGGGATCTCGGTCGACGCCCCTGACCACCTCGGCCTCACGCCCTACATGCACGCACGACGCCTGGGGTTCAAGGTCATTACCAACCTGTTGTACTCCAAAGGTCAGGCGTCTGTGGGTCACGGCGACCTTTTCTTTAGGTCGCCACGGGAATGGTCGCAGATCGGCAAGTTTGAGCGGCACAAGGCCACAGAGCTGCAGGCGGAGGGCCAGATCAACGCCGCCAAAATGCTGGGTAAACTAAGCCTGGCTAAAGATATGGAGGCCAGAGCACTAAGCCTGGCTAAAGATATGGAAGCCAGAGCACACGGCCATACGACAGCTAGGCTCAGCCTGTCACATCCAGGCGTCAGTGAGTCTCTTGCTGAGGCGCCCGAGTCGTCTGACGAGGTGCGGGTTTCAAAACATGACGAACACTCGAAGGTTTGGACTGGCCGTCACATGCACGAATCAAAACAAAAACTTGATGTCCATAATTTCTCGTCATTAAAAAAACTCCAATATAATAGATTAACAAGGAGTCTGGAGACACATCACATTTATCGCCCTGACGGGGAATTCTTAAAGTCTGGGCAGAAACAGGCGGGTGATTACACAGCAACCCAACCAATGAACACACACCGGGGTGGGGTGGCGCTGTCCCAAAACACACACCAGGGTGGGGCGGCTCTGTCCCACCAGGGTGGGGCGGCCCTGTCCCACACACACCAGGGCGGGGCGGCCCTGTCCCTGCTGAGCCAATCAACCCAGGGCCGTACCGTCAGCCGCTTCTGTCACAGCGAGCCCGTCAACAAGCCTAGGCACAGAGAGAGCAGACGACACTTGGACAATCTCACCGCCATCATGGGCCTGCTCTCTGATTCCTCGACAAAATCCTTCAGGAAATCAGCCCAGTTTCAAAAGCCAGAACATACGACTAAAATACCGAAAACAAAGCCCAAAATTTCATCATGGGCCGTTATTTTTGGCGATAGTAAAAACGTCAAGCCAAAGAAATTAAAAACAACTTCAACATCTGTTAGCAATGATAGCCAGTATTCGAAAGCTCAGCGATTGGTGATGGCTACAAAAAGTAACACAACTAAACAAAACATCACAGACAAAGACAGGATATTGCACAATGATAGTACTTATCATGGGAAATACGAAAACCGCGGACCAGCTGTTCCAAGAATTAAAATCAACGAGGCCAACAATTTTACTTAGTCTTCTCTGTGATGTACGATAGACTAAATGCCACCCAAAAAATTGAGAAAATAACATGAACTTCTTTAAGGTTACAATAATAAGCTACAGCTTCTATAGCATGTTAAATCTCAAAATGACAACTATAAAGATTGCAATGCTGTAGCTGTGTGTACATAACGGTTAATGTTATTTTCTTACTCATTAGTTGGCCGCTTTTAAAAATGTATGGTCTCCATTTTTGTCGAATAATTATTCGAGTATTTATATCAGTTTTATTTATATCAGTTTTATCATGTGTAATAAAACTAGGAAATATTTTGGCCTGTGTTTCTAATGTAATTAAGACTGTTCGCTTTATGAGGTTTTCTTATAAGTTACTTCAGGTTTAAGAACTAAAATCATAATTAACGCATCAAGTAAAAGCAAGTTAGATATGAAGATTTCCATAATACACGTATTACATTCAAAATTTATGTATTCATAAATACTCGAATGCATCTAGAATAAATTAATTCCCTTAGAAGTATTACAAAATGAAAAATCTTTATTAGGCTATCTGCACAAAAATTCTTGAAATATTTCTATTTGCTAATTCCACTACCTTTGACAAATCAGCCATTCCAAAATGAAATCAACAAAGATTTATGTATAGAGAGATCAGCAGTTTTATTTCAAATAGCACACATTTATAGTAGCAGGAGCAGGGACAACACAATATACAAGCGTATACATAAAACAGCACAATATACCAGAATACACATGACATAACACAATTTTTAACAAAATTTCTAAAACTTGACAGGGTTAAACATGACACATTGTAACTGTTTACGCTAATCCACTCATTAGCAACACTTGATTACAAAAATCATGAGATGGCTCCTTGAAAACATAGGTAATTAATCAATGTTTTAATGTCTTCAACCCTGTTATAAAACATTTGCTTAGCATTTAAGTCAAGTGATTTTTATGAATCATTTTAATGAATTTTTAAGAGCAAGGCAGAGTATCTCAATCTAATTCCCCCCCCCCCCCCCCCCTCAAAATAAGCGTTAGAAAGTGTAGCAAGTGATGTGGATTTCTCAGCTTAATTACAAAATTTACATTTTCATTAAAAATGTCTCAATTTGATTGTTGATTATTATTATTGAATTTATCCTTTTTTTTGTTAAGAAAAGTACAATTTTTGATTAAATTTAAAACATGAAGGCACAAAGATACACATAGGTTTGGACACTTTGATACATATAGACAAGGACACTTAGATATAGACATGGACACTTTAACTTCTAAAACAGACACACAAGGTGAGACACATAACAGGAGACAGGTATAGAACTGAGAAAGGGAAACAGACAGAAGACACACCCACAACAGACAGAAGACACACCGACAATATGGAACTCTTGTTGTCAGTCAGTATAAAAAATACATTTTGTTCTTAAACAAAATTCAATGCCCATCTAATGCTATTTTAATTATTTAAAAAAAATTGAGCTTTCTTGTGAAGCTCATACAATGTTTAGACAAAATTAATTAATTACAATAATTGGTATTATATATATTTTTCAAATTATTAATTAAATGTTAATTGTCTGGAGATATGCTGTTACATGATACTCAGAATGTATTATAATTATATTTATATACTATTAAATTATGCTTCATAAAGTTTTATCACAGCTCTGTATAATAATTATTTATATACCAAAAAATATAAAACTGTTTATATTATTATAAAAAAAAGAATAAATATTTTTTTACCCTAGAAGTAGTTTCTTAATAATGCACGGGGCTTGTGTTACAATATGGGGTGTGTGTGTGTGTTACAATATGGTGTGTGTGTTACAATATGGGTGTGTGTGTGTTACAATATGGTGTTTGTGTGTGTTACAATATGGGGTGTGTTACAATATGGGGGTGTGTGTTACAATATGGGGGGGTGTGTTACAATATGGGGGGGTGTTACAATATGGGGGGTGTGTATTACAATATGGGGGTGTGTGTTACAATATGGGGGGGTGTTACAATATGGGGGGGTGTGTTACAATATGGGGGGGTGTTACAATATGGGGTTTGTGTGTGTTACAATATGGGGCTGTGTGTTACAATATGGGGGTGTGTGTTACAATATGGGGGGGTGTGTTACAATATGGGGGGGTGTTACAATATGGGGGGTGTGTATTACAATATGGGGGTGTGTGTTACAATATGGGGGTGTGTTACAATATGGGGTTTGTGTGTGTTACAATATGGGGCTGTGTGTTACAATATGGGGGTGTGTGTTACAATATGGGGGGTGTGTATTACAATATGGGGGTGTGTGTTACAACATGGTGTGTGTGTTACAACATGGTGTGTGTGTTACAATATGGTGTGTGTTACAATATGGGGGTGTGTGTTACAATATGGTGTGTGTGTTACAATATGGTGTGTGTTACAATATGGGGTTTGTGTGTGTTACAATATGGGGTGTGTGTTACAATATGGGGGGTGTGTATTACAATATGGGGGTGTGTGTTACAATATGGTGTGTGTGTGTTACAATATGGGGTGTGTGTGTTACAATATGGTGTGTGTGTGTTACAATATGGGGTGTGTGTGTTACAATATGGGGGGGGGTGTTACAGTATGGGGGTGTGTGTGTTACAATATGGTGTGTGTGTGTTACAATATGAGGGTGTGTGTGTTACAGTATGGGTGTGTGTTACAATAGGACAAGCTCCACACCACTATAGAATACAATTAAATAAAACACACAGTACTATTGGAGGTCACAGGTTATATTTTAGTTAAAATAATTTAACCTAATGAGGGGTGTGCTCATGTTTTACAGCTTTAGACAATATTTTAAGCTCCATAATTTCTGTCTTTTTTTTTTCTTTTTTTTTTAACACTCCGTCAACACAGACTGATAGATGACTTGTAACATTTTAGTCAGAAACTCATACTTACTCACCAACAACACACCCAGAATTTATTTTTAAAAGAAATGCAGCATGTCTTTGTACCTTCCCCACATACATCGTTACAAAAGTCTAAGCCCCTGCCCAAATAGTTGGGTTGGATGACCCCTACAACATACATAATATATATATATATATAGATATATGCATATTAGTATAGACAAGGCCATGTGATAAAAGGTGTCATATTGTAATTGGAATAGATAAAAGAGGGATACAAAATATTGCACTAAAATCTCACAAAAATATCACTCAATAATAAAAGCAATGTTACACCATAGAAGATAACTGTTACTTTGTAAGTCAGGTGTATAAGTATCACAATGGTTCAAGTTATCAGAAACTAAATCAAACATAACATTTAACTTTTAAAATTAAAAAATAAAGTAAAAGCTATATACTTTTAAAAAAGCAACATCCACTCATATTTTATAAATTTATACTTAAAGTATTTTTAAAAAATAAGTAAATTTGCTTCATTTTACTGTTAAAACAAAGATTTGAAATTTAAGCAATTATATAAGCTGGAATTTTTTTCTTTCTTAAATAGGATTTCAAATTAAAAAAAAAAATTAGTACAAGTTACATCTCTGTTATATGTGTACTAGTTGGACATTCTCAGACAATGTTCTGGGTTGTTCAACTCTAAAAATAAAATTTTGACAACCAAAAGACAATTACTGACTACTGCAAACTAAACTATATAAACAATGCCTTTAAAAGATACATGGTAAAACATAGTTTTGCAAGCTAAAATAAAGTTCATAAATGTTTTACATTGTTTCATTTTAACCACCACATACTTTATATGCCTAGAATTTGTGCTTCAATATTTTGGCACATTTACAAACATGTTAATCCAATAATAATTGTCTTAATGGCACTTTAAAGAAAAAAAAAGTTTTGATTAAAAATCAAGCACATAAAACTAAAATGTTAATGCATTAAAAAAAAATATTTATTCAACTGCATTCATTTAAAAAAATCATGCAATAAAATAATGTTTAAAATTAGCAGAGATTATTCCAAGAATTCAACAGACTTGTAGTAAAAACATGGCTGAGATACTTTGAATTTTAACAAAGTCAATTAAAAATTAAACAATCAGTAGGATTCTACTGTACATCCCGGATTTGAGGTGTATTAATTTGGTCTAAAATTAATTGGTTACATTTAAAACTTACACATTTCATTTGAATTAAAACAAGATTTACAAATTTCTAGATATTTCATTTTGTTAAAGCCACACTTCACATGCCCTTATCCTAGGTCAAAATGTCCTGATGTTACTAGGTTTGCTCAATTTGTTCCATTTCTTATGGAGTGATTTTAAAAAAAAACTTATCAGATAAGTGCATCTCTAATAACAAAACAAGAAAATATAATTTTCAACCTAAAACTACATTATTCATTAAAAATGACTTAAAAGATATTTAATGTTTGCAGATGTTTTCAGATTGAGAGCTAACCACTGAATTTAATAAAGTGATTGTGATTAGGATAATATTGCCAGGTATGGATAGCAAATACTTTCTGCTCATGTAGGTGTCAACTTTGGAACAAACAGAAAAGAAAGAATAAACATGGAATTATTTTAAAAATTTGTGTATACTAAGATATAGAATAAAATACTTAAAAAAAACTTTTTAAAAAACCACGTTTTTCTTGTGGACTAAAAAGTAGAAAATAACTATTTACATACATTTGATGACAAAAAACGTGGGTACGTTCACCATCAAATTTCCCGACCCATCTGCCCGACCCACGTTTTTTGTCATCAAATGTATGTAAATAGTTATTTTCTACTTTTTAGTCCACAAGAAAAACGTGGTTTTTTAAAAAGTTTTTTTTAAGTATTTTATTTTCTCCTTTTTAGTCCGTTGCTACACATGAAAAACGTGGTTTTTAAAAAAGTTTTTTATATAGTTCATTTTCTACTTTATCTAATGACTTGATTAAGTATGAATTGACTAAGTGTTTATAAATACACGGACTAAAAATATTGAGCGACCAGGATTCGAACCTGGGTTGTCGCGGCCACAACGCGAAGTACTAACCACTATACGATCACGGCCAGCGCGCTCACAGCGATTGGGGCCGAAGTAACTGTGTCAATAGGCTTCAAGTCTTGTCGGTATCTTTAGAAATCATGTCCTCAATTTTATGGTCCTTGGGGCGTAATTAAATTAAGCTAATTACGGTCACTAATTGCTAGTTTTTATGATTGCATCTGAAATTGTTAGGCGAAAGTAGCATGCATGCCAAATTTCAGGTCTGTAGAGCAATCAGAAGTGGGCTAATTTTCGATGTCAATTTTAACAACAAACATCCAAACAAACAAACGCGAAGCTGAGTTAAGAAAAACGTTTTAAAATAGAGCAAGCTTTTTATTCTTTAGGTGTAGTAATAAAGCATTGTTTGCTGAAGTGTGTGAAAGAGATGTCATGAGCAACAAATGCTTTACAATTAGAACTATTAAAAAAAAAAATCCTTCTTAACAACACGAACCAGGCTGTAACTTGCTCCACTAATATAGCATATACAATATAAAAATGTCTAAAAGCTTTCAGACTTAATGCTGAAACAATACAAATTTGAGCATGAAAATTGTAGAGGTAGGCTGCAATCAGATGGTAGCAAACATGTTTTGAAAGATTCAATAGAGTATGATATGATGTATTACCCTCAAAGCAAAATATTGTAATTTAGCCATTTAACAAATATAAAACTTACAACATGGGTAAAAGAGTAGGACCCATCCAGTTGTATTCACAGGTAAAGCACAGGGTATAACACACATCACTTTATGAAGGTTTAACAAGGGATATAACCCACATAACTTTAAAAAAACAAAAATGTAATTAGCCATCTTGCTTTTGAATGTCAGAATTATTTAATACCATTTACATTAAGAAGCTGCTACATAAAAAAACAACAAATATAAACACATATAAGAAGTAAACTGTTTTTCCAATAATTTCTTTTAAGTTCAAAGCCTAAGATTTTTAAATATTTTGATAAACAGTGACTAACTCTTTTTTTAACAATGAAAAAATAAATAACTCTTAACTTTTCTATCAACTAACATAATTTTATAATCCTAACGTCGGTTACATTCATATCTAAGGTGCTGCTTGCCTATAGTAACTTTCAGCCAATGAGAATCAAGTAGCGTCCTGGGTAATTTATCCCATAGCAATACATACTCCTCCTTAGTTTGATGATTCCAGGATAAGACAAGGACTTCGTCGTTAAATTTAGGCGCAGCAAGCTGGAGAATAAAGAAACAGCCCTGGTGGTAAACCACCCGGAAATGTCGCTGATCAAATGATTTGAGGACATGAACAATGAGCGGAGTTTTGTCATCTGAAAGTGTTAGAATGTTTCCATTGGAGCTGAAAACATACACAGTGTCCTCAACAGTCAGGGACTGGCTGCCTATGGTGATGGATGGCACGCACCCCAGGACACAGGCCACATTTGTTTTGGTGTTAAAGCTCTGAAATGTTGTGGGCATAAACAACATTTCATTGTCTAAATAGTCATAGTGGTCCACACATCCCCCAAACATATAAATGACGTCCCCAACAGCCGTGGCAGACATTTTACCAACAGACATTGCTAGAAGCCCAACCGCTGAAATCTCGTTCTTGGCTGGGTCGTACCTTTCAATACCGGCAGGATTCACAGCCGCATTTTTGCTGTACCCACCAACAATAAAAACAAAATCCTGGACAGAAACCATGGCATGAAAGTAGCGAGGTTCAACAAGATCGCTGCAGTTTTCCCACCTGTTCTGCTCGGTTACAAACCTGACCATCCTGTTCTGCTGGTCGGAGCCGCCTGACACGTAGATATCCCCCTGGTGCACACACGCTGCTTTAGCATTAGAGAAGTACGGAAATTTAGCGAGGAAGTAGAGTTTTTTGGAGTGTAGAGTGAAGCAACAAACTTCCTGTCTTCTACCGTCCACCATCACTAGAGCATGTTCTTTACGGGGGTTAAAGATCTTAGAGCTTAACTCCATCCCAGGAAATAAAGAATTCTGATTAGCTTTCAGTGCTTTCTGTATATATTCTTTGGATTCTGAGCTTGTTTGAATACAAGATGAATGTAATATGATTTCATTTACAGCTTTAGCCTCCATTAGAGGAAAACGCAGGTGTCTTACAATGTCTATTACACATTTTTCTCCACGCTCTAAATCATTTTCCAACCAAGATGTCACAAACTGTAAAACCTCCTCTTCTTTTTCAACATTTAAATGATCAGCATCAATATACCTTACCAATTCATCTTTGCTAAATTCTAAAAAGTCTTTTGAATGCTTTAACTCAGGGAAATTTTCAGTCATGTGCCAAAAGGCTTTCTCTTCTAATAACGGACAGTTATAAGAAACTGCTATTTTCCAATTAAATATACAGTTTTGGACACAAAGATCTTTAGCCAAAAATTTTTCACATATAAGCTGCAATGCTTGTATCTGATACATAGATGATATCTGCAGAAGATCAACCACATAATCGTAAGAGAGTTCTATGTCACCGGTATATAGAAAATCTAACACTTTCTCAAAATGAACAGGCAGAATGCCTTTTAAGGTAATCACTTTGTCATGACTTTCTCGCATACCTGAGCTAAACATAGCGCAGAAGTAAGCCGACATAGCGGCGAGTACCGTGCGATGGCAAGGAAAACTGCAGTCTCCTACAACTAGAACAGTGTCTGTGTGTTCTGATGATGCTTTTAATTTTGTCAGACCTCCACACAAATAACGGTGATGAATTTTTTTTTGAGCATCCATTTCTAAAAAAAGATCACGAGATGATTAATAAAAGATAAATTTAAAAAATCATAATGTTTGTCTAATTTGTGGAGTGTATGATGTGTGTGCATTAAGCCTAAATTCATAACAATAAACATAGCATACATATGAGTGATGAATTTTTTTTCTGAGCATCCATTTCTAAAAAAAAAGATCACGAGATGATTAATAAAAGGTAAATTTAAAAAATCATATTGTTTGTCTAATTTGTGGAGTGTATGATGATGTGTGTGCATTAAGCCTAAATTCATAACAATAAACATAGCATACATATGAGTATGCAAATGCTAAACAATGAAATAGTCAGCTTTTCCCTTTTGTGCCGTAGACACAGGGGGCAGATGAAGTAGAGTTCATCTGTTTCAATTACCTTTGCAAGGATAGTTTATTAGTTTGCTCAGCACTATACAGTGACTATACTACTATACACAGCTGCCTGTTTCCCTAACATGAATCAGGCACCCATCAGAGTTGGGTGGACTCAAAGACATCCAACAGACTAGAAACTAGGATTTAGTAAATTTAGTAAAAAATTTAGTTAGTTAGTTAGACTCATGACTCAAGCCTAGGATTTGAGCTAGATGCTCTGCCATCCGACCACACCATCCCACATTGGGTGGAAAGATTTAAATTAATAAATTGGATTAGGCCCTAGATCTACTTTAAACTACTTTTGATTAAGATCTAGAATCTAGATGTATTTAATTTTAATCTAAACTAAATAATAAAATACTAATAATAATGTAATATTGTCTAACCAAAGGGAGAGCACTATGAACGATTCTTTGTGTTTTCTTAAAACTTGACCTCTAGTGGTTAGAAATAGTATCCAATCGGAAACGACCTTTAGCAAATAAAAAACAAAACAAAAACAAATTGGGCTAGGCTAAGGAAAAATGTGTTGAAAAAAGCTTAAATGAGCATTGAGAAAAAAAATACAATTAAAGTAATGCTAGATTATGCTAGGCCTTATCAATTTGAAGGGATTTTCGCTACTAGATCTAATCTAGATCTAGACTAGATTTATACCATAATGTTAATAATCTTTTTATAATTACAAGTGTTATGCACAACTGTGTTTTAAATAGCTATCATAGTTAAACAGCCAATGAAATTTTCTGCTTTTGCATGTGTAAATAGACGCCTATTTTTAAACAGTAAGTAATGACATTCCAATTCATTCCATTGGATTTCTTTTGTAAATTTCGTTTTTTATTAACCTTTTGTAAAATTAAAACTAGATTTCTAACAATAGTTCATAGTCAGACTTGTAGTTAAGCATATAAGTCATATGTCGGATGTCCAGCCATATATTACTTATTACATTTACAATACATTGTCACATTGTGATTGTGACTGACACAAAACTACACTGGACACACTACGACTTCGGACAACACTGCACTTATTGACTTATGTACACTAAACTACACTTCACTTTACTACAGTTGAGTACAGTGGACTTGTGTATACACACAACTAAATTACCAAATCTAGATTAGAATCTTGACTAGAATCTAGATCTAGATCTAAATCTAATAAGTGTTTTCAATGTTGTTAATGTTACCTTCATAGTTCTTAACTTAACACACCCTCACAGACTCACTTCTTAAGTTCTTAGTGACACACTGGTCTACTTTACTTTAGGGCACTTTAGGCCCTAACTAAAATAAAAACATAGCATTAAATGGATTCATATTTCTAATAGTAATAGTACAACTTTTATCATTAGGCCTAAAGGCTACATCATCAACTACATTTAGGCCTAACTACATTATTAGTAAATTAAGTGTTAGGCCCCTAAAAGTAGTTTTGTATGAACCACAAATATGTTATTTTTGCAAAGCCTAGGCCTAGGCATCACTGCTAAATTCTAGAATAATACACAATTGTTACATTTATTTTCCGTTTTCTGGTTTTAAAAATAGTCAACTATTTGAAAAAATGAAATAAAATAGGCCATAAAGTCTAGGCTGAGCTTATTCTGTTGCTCATTCAATTGTGGTTTTAAAAGATTTGTAATTTAAATAATCTAAAAGCCATAAAATCAGTCCTGAACGAACAACAGGCTGTAGTCTTAAGTTAAGCCTTGCAGAAACAATACCCTTAAAAATGTCCATAGTGTTTAAAAGCTTTTTTTCCTAGGAAGTTCCTAAATAATAAAATTGGGCCTAATTATCATTTAGACTTCTAATTATAAAAATATATTGGCTGCTGTGGGAGGGTTGATATAAGACTGCACTGTAGACCCTTTCAGTTAACTTTTTGATTGAAGATTTTGAGTAAAATACTATTGTGTTTTTGAGTCAATGTTTACTATTGCTGAATGATTAACTATCAGAAATATCCAGAAACCATCGAGGCATGAGTCTATCAGAAATTAGTGAGAACACGAGGACAGGCCGTGAAAGTGCCTTACTTGGTGATTATGAAACCTCCATGGTCTACTACCAAGGTGTGATTCAACAAATTCATAGGCTGATAGGCTCCATTAAAGACCAAGAACGTAAACGGATGTGGAATCAGGTACAGATGTGACAGCACTCAGATGCTTTGATAAACATCGCTTTAAACCATTTATTAATTAATCTGCTCTATTAGAAATTATAAGTACAATTTAGAATATGAAACATTAAAAATTATACACATGTAGTTGGATCAGCTTTACAATACTGAGCTTCTTTGTTTTCAGCTGAAGGGAGAAATTACCAAAGAATATGAGCAAGTGAAAGAGATCAGCACTACTCTTCAGTCTTTTAAAGTGGAATCTGCCCACAGCCCCAATGCTGCCTATGGATCTGTGAACAGCTATGATAGAGGCTACCACCAGGATTATCATGACCCCAGACATGAGGAACCTACCAGAGATCCAGATGTTTGGCCACCTCCCACTCCTGTTGAACAGAGGTAGTCCACCACTTTTCTTTCAGCTATTTAAGAACAGTTTTTGAACCTGTTGTTAGTCAAATTAGTGGGAATAAGCAGCTAGTTATAGAAAAAGCATTAAGATCAAACAACTAGTCTTAAAAAAAAAATTATTGAGATTAAACAACTAGCCATAGTAAATAATTATTGAGAATAAACAGCTTGTCATAGAAAAAGTTATTGAGATTAAACAACTAGTCATAGAAAAAAATTTATTGAGAATAAACAGCTAGTCATAGATATTACTAACGTCTTATGTTACAAACATACTACATTTTAAAAGAGGTACTGATAATGTTTTTATATTGTTTTACTTAGCATGTGTACTGTTAGTTTTTTTCAGGCAACATTTATTATGTCCCAAAAATAAATCTTGATTAAATATAATTGTAATCTGTCAATCTAACAAACTGAAATATTTCTTTGTGAAACTTAAAACTTTTCAATAAAAAATGTAGGCCTTCACCAAACCTTCGAGGTGGATATCAGCGTGCTGGGCAACAAAAGATAACTCCCAACGGTCGGGCTGGGAGGCCCGTCCAGGTCCCTGGCAAGTCTTCAGTTACCCCAGGTCCAGCCAGGGGTCGAGGGGGTGCAGCTCCAGGTAGAGAAGCCAGCGCTAAAGGGAAGAAAGGAGCAGAAAATGTGAGTCACACGCAGACTTACTAAGAAAATAGACAATAATTGTCATATTAAACATTTTTTTTATAATATAATTTGAAACTCTAGTGTTAAGTAAATAGAATAATGTTATGCTCTTGTGTGACTATTTCAGCCAGATGAAAAAAAGTTTGAGCCTCAAGGACATGACAAAGACTTGGTTGAACATTTAGAGCGAGACATTGTCCAAAGGAACCCAAATGTTCGATGGTACGTTCTAAAAACCCTAGCGCGTCTTTTCTTGTTGTAGCACACAATTTTCTGTTAATTAGAAAAATAACATTTGGCTAAAATAACATGAAAATTTCTAATTGGTTTTTGGAATGGTTAGCTTGTTGTCACAGGGTTATCATGTTAAACAGGATTCAGAAAATGATCAATATTTTAATTCAGGGATGACAAAGGTAATTATGACGGTAAATAATCAATATTTCAATTTAGGGACGACATTGCGAGTTTGACAGAAGCAAAAAAACTTCTGGAGGAGGCAGTGGTTTTACCTTTAATTGTCCCAGACTTTTTTAAAGGCATTAGACGACCTTGGAAGGTGAGTCTTCGTTGGACTACTTTTTTTTTATTTAGGACATAATTTTCCAGCAAATGAACTGATTGCACTAGTTATTCTTTTAGTTAAACTGTTAGAAAGTTCTTATCTAAACATGTACTCATGCACCATTGTTGTATGTTGTACTCATGGTCCATTGTATGTTGCAGGGTGTGCTGATGGTTCACTGTTGTATGTTGTACTCATGCTCCATTTTTGTATGTTGTGTATTGTACTCATGGTCCATTGTTATATGTCGTATATTGTACTCATGGTCCATTGTTATATGTCGTATATTGTACTCATGGTCCATTGTTATATGTCGTATATTGTACTCATGGTCCATTGTTATATGTTGTATATTGTACTCATGGTCCATTGTTATATGTCGTATATTGTACTCATGGTCCATTGTTATATGTCGTATATTGTACTCATGGTCCATTGTTATATGTTGTATATTGTACTCATGGTCCATTGTTATATGTCGTATATTGTACTCATGGTCCACTGTTATATGTTGTATATTGTACTCATGGTCCATTGTTGTATGTTGCAGGGTGTGCTGATGGTAGGCCCACCAGGGACAGGAAAAACCCTGCTGGCAAAGGCTGTGGCAACAGAGTGTGGCACAACATTTTTCAATGTGTCAACTTCCAGTCTCACCTCCAAATGGCATGGGGAGTCAGAGAAGCTTGTGCGTCTGTTGTTTGAAATGGTAAGTTTAGAACAATCTTGGCATCATAAACCTAAAATGGTAAGTTTAGAACAATCTTGGCATCAAGAACATTTTTAGCCCAGCCATGAGACACACATTTCCTACACAACAGGTTCTTGACGAACAATTATTATTAACTGGTCCACTGAGGTAGCAGTAGTATTTACCTTGGGAAATGTGGGGTGTATTTATGGGAAGTAATGTACATTTGTTTTTAAATCGGTCAGTATAACCGTTGTTTTAAAAAAAATTAGTAATGTTCAATTTCACGTACTTATTAGGCTTAATTTATCAATGATGTTGAAAGCCACTTGTTATGGGGAATATTTTTTGTTTTCAGGCTAGATTCTATGCCCCAAGTACAGAGTTTATTGATGAGATTGATTCCATGTGTTTCAGGCTAGATTCTATGCTCCAAGTACAGTGTTTATTGATGAGATTGATTCCATTTGTTTCAGGCTAGATTCTATGCTCCAAGTACAGTGTTTATTGATGAGATTGATTCCATTTGTTTCAGGCTAGATTCTATGCCCCAAGTACAGTGTTTATTGATGAGATTGATTCCATTTGTTTCAGGCTAGATTCTATGCCCCAAGTACAGTGTTTATTGATGAGATTGATTCCATTTGTTTCAGGCTAGATTCTATGCCCCAAGTACAGTGTTTATTGATGAGATTGATTCCATTTGTTTCAGGCTAGATTCTATGCTCCAAGTACAGTGTTTATTGATGAGATTGATTCCATTTGTTCTAAACGTGGGTCAGGATCAGAACATGAAGCTAGTCGCAGGGTCAAGTCTGAGATTCTTGTACAGATGGATGGTTAGTGCGATGTTTAGAGTTCTGTTCAATATGTTACTATCATATGTTGTGTAAATGAAGTGCTACACGTAGGAGATGATGTATAAAAATCTATCCACCAGCATACACGTAAAAGATGATGTATAAAATCTTTCCACCAGGTGTCAGCAGTGAAAGTGAAGACCCCACTAAAGCAGTTATGGTTCTTGCTGCCACCAACTTTCCCTGGGACCTTGACGAGGCTTTGAGGAGAAGGTTGGAGAAAAGGATCTATATCCCACTGCCAGATGGTAACTACTTTAGACGTCTTGTAGGCTATCCCCACATTATTTAGCTGGCCAGATGGTAACTACTTTAGACAACTTGTCTTGTAAGCTATCCCCACATTATTTAGCTGGCCAGATGGTAACTACTTTAGACAACTTGTAGTCTATCCCCACATTATTTAGCTGGCCAGATGGTAACTACTTTAGACGTCTTGTAGGCTATCCCCACATTATTTAGCTGGCCAGATGGTAACTACTTTAGACAACTTGTAGGCTATCCCCACATTATTTAGCTGGCCAGATGGTAACTACTTTAGACAACTTGTAGTCTATCCCCACATTATTTAGCTGGCCAGATGGTAACTACTTTAGACAACTTGTAGGCTATCCCCACATTATTTAGCTGGCCAGATGGTAATTACTTTAGACAACTTGTAGGCTATCCCCACATTATTTAGCTGGCCAGATGGTAATTACTTTAGACAACTTGTAGGCTATCCCCACATTTTTTAGCTGGCCAGATGGTAATTACTTTAAACGTCTTGTAGGCTATCCCCACATTATTTAGCTGGCCAGATGGTAACTACTTTAGACAACTTGTAGGCTATCCCCACATTATTTAGCTGGCCAGATGGTAATTACTTTAGACAACTTGTAGGCTATCCCCACATTATTTAGCTGGCCAGATGGTAACTACTTTAGACAACTTGTAGGCTATCCCCACATTATTTAGCTGGCCAGATGGTAACTACTTTAGACAACTTGTAGGCTATCCCCACATTATTTAGCTGGCCAGATGGTAATTACTTTAGACAACTTGTAGGCTATCCCCACATTATTTAGCTGGCCAGATGGTAATTACTTTAGACAACTTGTAGGCTATCCCCACATTATTTAGCTGGCCAGATGGTAACTACTTTAGACAACTTGTAGGCTATCCCCACATTTTTTAGCTGGCCAGATGGTAATTACTTTAGACAACTTGTAGGCTATCCCCACATTATTTAGCTGGCCAGATGGTAATTACTTTAAACGTCTTGTAGGCTATCCCCACATTTAGATGGCCAGATGGTAATTATTTTAAACAACTTGTAGGCTATCCCCACATTATTTAGCTGGCCAGATGGTAATTACTTTAGACAACTTGTCTTGTAGGCTATCCCCACATTATTTAGCTGGCCAGATGGTAATTACTTTAAACAACTTGTAGGCTATCCCCACATTTTTTAGCTGGCCAGATGGTCATTACTTTAAACAACTTGTCTTGTAGTTAGGCTATCCTCATATTTTTTAGCTGGCCAGATGGTCATTATTTTACATCTTTAATCCAGACATCTCTAATCCTGTCTAACCCATGTCATCTGTTCTACCCAGCTGAAGGCAGGAAACAGCTTCTGGACATCAACTTGAAGGAAGTAGAAACAGGACCAGACGTTGACATATCTAAAATAGCCGACATGCTGGATGGTTACTCTGGTGCAGATATCACTTGTGTTTGTCGGTAAGGTTTAAGGCTGTTCATTTACCTTTCCTCGTCATTTGTATCTACATCATCTTCTTTAAAATTTGACAATAAAAACTTTCCTGTTGACCAGAGATGCAGCCATGATGTCATTCCGCCGTAGGATAGCCGGCCTGCGCCCTGATGAAATCCGCCAGATACCTAAAGATGAGTTGACTCTGCCAACGACCATGGAAGATTTTACTGAGGCCATCAAGAAAGTTAACAAAAGTGTCTCGCAGGAGGACATTGAGAAATACAAGAAGTGGATGGATGAATATGGATCTGTCTAAACTACTAGTTAACCATTTGGTTAGGTTTCAAGAGTCTGGTTAGCCTGCTACTTAAATGTTTGGCTAGGTTTTTTACGCTCAATAATTTATCTTCATTTGACGGGGACCTTTATCCTCTTTTAAAAACAACTTGTGAATTAAATCTCTTTAGATTTGTGAAATCTGAACAGGAAGAATTACTTCCCATGGTTTTTGTACAGGTACAAAGAATTCTGTCCCTTTGAGCTGTCTAAAAGTTCAAAGTGTACAATAGCTGACAGGTGTCACGTCTCTAGCTACATTTCATGTACATCTTGTAATAAGTGTACACTTCCATATGATACTAACTAACTTTAAGACAATGATATGTTTATATTTAAATATAAAAAAAATACAATATGTTCACAAGCTAGCATCTATTTCTGTTGGTCATCAACAGCTGTTTTTTTTATAACCAACATGAGACAGTCTGAGAATATGGTCACTTATGTTAAAACTGCAACATAGACATGAATTTAAAACAGCAAGTGTGTAACGTATGTATGTATTTTACCAGTGGACATAGCTGTGTGTAACTAATTAGGTAATTATGTATGTAGGTATGTTTATTTGCTTGAATCCTTGTATGTGTGTTTAAAAAGTTGTCTCTATGTTATTGTTTTTATTTGTACATAGTTAATGCTAATGACATTGTTAGTTATGTGGTGATTGGGGTTTGTTGCCATCTTCATGACAAATCATTGTGTACAATGATTTTCTAATTATGGGAATAGGTCATTTATAATAAATTTTGCTTCCATTTGTGACTACAATTTTCTTAAAATGTCTGTTAAAAAATAAATCTGATTATAAATGTTTAAAAAACTTTTGCATACATATGTTGCCTAACCCTCTTTTTCATGAGTCAACTTTTTGTTTGGACCACATTAGAGTCAACTTTTTGTTTGGTCCACATTAGAGCCAACTTTTTGTTTGGTCCACATTAGAGCCAACTTTGTGTTTGGTCCACATTAGAGTCAACTTTTTGTTTGGTCCACATTAGAGTCAACTTTTTGTTTGGTCCACATTAGAGTCAACTTTGTGTTTGGTCCACATTAGAGTCAACTTTGTGTTTGGTCCACATTAGAGTCAACTTTGTGTTTGGTCCACATTAGAGCCAACTTTTTGTTTGGTCCACATTAGAGTCAACTTTTTGTTTGGTCCACATTAGAGTCAACTTTGTGTTTGGTCCACATTAGAGTCAACTTTGTGTTTGGTCCACATTAGAGTCAACTTTTTGTTTGGTCCACATTAGAGTCAACTTTGTGTTTGGTCCACATTAGAGTCAACTTTGTGTTTGGTCCACATTAGAGTCAACTTTGTGTTTGGTCCACATTAGAGTCAACTTTTTGTTTGGTCCACATTAGAGTCAACTTTGTGTTTGGTCCACATTAGAGTCAACTTTGTTTGGTCAACATTAGAGCCAACTTTGTTTGGTCCACATTAGAGTCAACTTTTTGTTTGGTCCACATTAGAGCCAACTTTTTGTTTGGTCCACATTAGAGTCAACTTTGTTTGGTCAACATTAGAGCCAACTTTGTTTGGTCCACATTAGAGTCAACTTTGTGTTTGGTCCACATTAGAGTCAACTTTTTGTTTGGTCCACATTAGAGTCAACTTTGTTTGGTCCACATTAGAGTCAACTTTGGTCAACAGAGTCAACTTTGGTCAACAGAGTCAACTTTTTGTTTGGTCCACATTAGAGTCAACTTTGTTTGGTCCACATTAGAGTCAACTTTGTTTGGTCCAGATATACCAACCCACTTCCAACAAATATATATATATTCCTCTATGCTGCTGAAGTCATGTGGTTTGGACTGACTGACAAGACGTACTGAGGAACTGACAGACTGGACTGACTGACACACTACATAGCACGGGAACAGGGCATTACCCCACCCCCCTGTCAATTACCCCCCCCCCCCCCCCACCCCGGGCAAGGATAGGGTTAGTTATGGCTATGGTTAGGCTTAAACTAAAGTTTAGTTTGGTTTTGTGTTAAGTTTTAGGCTGAGGTGGATACTAAGGTTTTGGTCTTTTTCTTAAGGTTAGGATCAATGTAATATATAGGTATAGAATTTGAGTTAGGGTTAGGATTCTAACTTGAGGGGGGGGGGGATGTCCTGTAGCCACATAGCACATGTTACAGATTATGACAACCCATTCATAACTTAGCTGGTCAATTTAAAAACTAGAAGGTAATATTTCTAATGGGTTCACGATTCAATTAACATGATCACCACCAAAAAACCATCTCATTAGAGTAATTAGACGTACATGTCGCCCCATGTCCACGTGACCTTCATTTACTTGACGTCTCCAGGGAATAATTATTTCAAGTTCATTAAAAATCACGCGCCCATCTGATTGGTCTGTTGTATCCGTCCATCGCACTTCAGCTGATGCAACGTGATCTGGGCCGTGATTCTGTACACATGATCTGGGCCATGATTCTGTACACATTAACATTATCTGGGCCGTGATTCTGTACACATTAACATTATCTGGGCCGTGATTCTGTACACATTAACATTATCTGGGCCGTGATTCTGTACACATTAACATTATCTGGGCCGTGATTCTGTACACATTAACATTATCTGGGCCGTGATTCTGTACACATTAACATGATCTGGGCCATGATTCTGTACACATTAACATGATCTGGGCCGTGATTCTGTACACATGATCTGGGCCATGATTCTGTACACATTAACATGATCTGGGCCATGATTCTGTACACATGATCTGGGCCATGATTCTGTACACATTAACATTATCTGGGCCGTGATTCTGTACACATTAACATTATCTGGGCCGTGATTCTGTACACATTAACATTATCTGGGCCGTGATTCTGTACACATTATCTGGGCCGTGATTCTGTACACATTAACATGATCTGGGCCATGATTCTGTACACATTAACATGATCTGGGCCGTGATTCTGTACACATGATCTGGGCCATGATTCTGTACACATTAACATGATCTGGGCCATGATTCTGTACACATGATCTGGGCCGTGATTCTGTACACATTAACTTGATCTTGGCCATGATTCTGTACACATAAACATGATCTTGGCCATGATTCTGTACACATTAACATGATCTGGGCCATGATTCTGTACACATGATCTGGGCCATGATTTTGTACACATTAACATGATCTGGGCCATGATTCTGTACACATGATCTGGGCCATGATTCTGTACACATTAACATGATCTGGGCCATGATTCTTTACACATGATCTGGGCCATGATTCTGTACACATTAACATGATCTGGGCCATGATTCTGTACACATTAACATGATCTGGGCCATGATTCTGTACACATGATCTGGGCCATGATTCTGTACACATTAACATGATCTGGGCCGTGATTCTGTACACATTAACATGATCTGGGCCGTGATTCTGTACACATTAACATGATCTGGGCCGTGATTCTGTACACATTAACATTATCTGTGCCATGATTCTGTACACATGATCTGGGCCGTGATTCTGTACACATGATCTGGGCCGTGATTCTGTACACATTAACATGATCTGGGCCGTGATTCTGTACACATTATCTGGGCCGTGATTCTGTACACATGATCTGGGCCATGATTCTGTACACATTAACATGATCTGGGCCATGATTCTGTACACATTAACATGATCTGGGCCGTGATTCTGTACACATTAACATGATCTGGGCCGTGATTCTGTACACATTAACATGATCTGGGCCGTGATTCTGTACACATTAACATGATCTGGGCCATGATTCTGTACACATTAACATGATCTGGGCCGTGATTCTGTACACATTAACATGATCTGGGCCGTGATTCTGTACACATTAACATGATCTGGGTCATGATTCTGTACACATTAACATGATCTGGGCCATGATTCTGTACACATTAACATGATCTGGGACATGATTCTGTACACATGATCTGGGCCGTGATTCTGTACACATGATCTGGGCCATGATTCTGTACACATTAACATGATCTGGGACATGATTTTGTACACATTAACATGTTCTGGGCCGTGATTCTGTACACCTTAACATGATCTGGGCCGTGATTCTGTACACATTAACATGATCTGGGCCATGATTCTGTACACATTATCTGGGCCATGATTCTGTACACATTATCTGGGCCATGATTCTGTACACATGATCTGGGTCATGATTCTGTACACATTAACATGATCTGGGCCATGATTCTGTACACATTAACATGATCTGGGCCGTGATTCTGTACACATGATCTGGGCCGTGATTCTGTACACATTAACATGATCTGGGCCATGATTCTGTACACATGATCTGGGCCATGATTCTGTACACATTAACATGATCTGGGCCATGATTCTGTACACATTAACATGATCTGGGCCATGATTCTGTACACATGATCTGGGCCATGATTCTGTACACATTAACATGATCTGGGCCATGATTCTGTACACATGATCTGGGCCATGATTTTGTACACATTAACATGATCTGGGCCGTGATTCTGTACACATGATCTGGGCCATGATTCTGTACACATTAACATGATCTGGGCCATGATTCTGTACACATTAACATGTTCTGGGCCGTGATTCTGTACACATTAACATGATCTGGGCCGTGATTCTGTACAAAAAATCAGGGCCGTGATTCTGTACACATTAACATGATCTGGGCCGTGATTCTGTACACATTAACATGATCTGGGCCATGATTCTGTACACATTAACATGATCTGGGCCGTGATTCTGTACACATGATCTGGGCCGTGATTTTGTACACATTAACATGATCTGGGCCGTGATTCTGTACACATTAACATGATCTGGGCCGTGATTCTGTACATATTAACATGATCTGGGCCGTGATTCTGTACACATTAACATGATCTGGGCCATGATTCTGTACACATTAACATGATCTGGGCCATGATTCTGTACACATTAACATGATCTGGGCCATGATTCTGTACACATGATCTGGGCCATGATTCTGTACACATTAACATGATCTGGGCCATGATTCTGTACACATGATCTGGGCCATGATTCTGTACACATGATCTGGGCCATGATTCTGTACACATGATCTGGGCCATGATTCTGTACACATAAACATGATCTGGGCCATGATTCTGTACACATTAACATGATCTGGGCCATGATTCTGTACACATGATCTGGGCCGTGATTCTGTACACATTAACATGATCTGGGCCGTGATTCTGTACACATGATCTGGGCCATGATTCTGTACACATTATCTGGGCCATGATTCTGTACACATTAACATGATCTGGGCCGTGATTCTGTACACATGATCTGGGCCATGATTCTGTACACATTATCTGGGCCATGATTCTGTACACATTAACATGATCTGGGCCGTGATTCTGTACACATTAACATGATCTGGGCCATGATTCTGTACACATTAACATGATCTGGGCCGTGATTCTGTACACATTAACATGATCTGGGCCATGATTCTGTACACATGATCTGGGCCGTGATTCTGTACACATTAACATGATCTGGGCCGTGATTCTGTACACATTAACATGATCTGGGCCATGATTCTGTACACATGATCTGGGCCGTGATTCTGTACACATGATCTGGGCCATGATTCTGTACACATTAACATGATCTGGGCCATGATTTTGTACACATTAACATGTTCTGGGCCGTGATTCTGTACACCTTAACATGATTTGGGCCGTGATTCTGTACACATTAACATGATCTGGGCCATGATTCTGTACACATGATCTGGGCCATGATTCTGTACACATGATCTGGGCCATGA